CCGCACTTTTTAGGAGTTAGAAGATACATTTACCTTTCAAAAGGAAGTCTGTGCTAATTTGAGAATTCCACCTTAATAAGACTGTTAGGATACCTGTCATCCTCTGCCTTTTAGGCTATTTCATCCCCAGTAGAAAAGAACCTTCATGGTGTGGACAACTGAGGTGCTGTTCTGGCGACTCAGTAGGACCGCATGTGGCAGGCAGTGGTGGTTCTCATGTCTGGCTCACTGAAGGATCAAGGATCCTATTCTGGCAGCACTTTAAATAGATCAGTTAATGTATTTCCTTCTCCTCCAAGTGGTAAGATTTTCCAACTGGCATTTAGCCTCGTTGTTATGCCAAGTTTGCACAGTCAGAATTTCAGGTTTTGTGTAGCTGGGCGAAATTTGTCACTCTTCTCCATAGAAGACAATGTTTGCCAGTTGTGTGCAGTGGGAATGAAACTAAATTGAGGAGAAAAAAGATCTTGGCTCAGTTTGCCTGAGTTGTTCTTCCTCCCCCCTCACCTAAGTTATTAGCTTAATGAGTGTTATTAAAACAAAGCAAGTGAAAAAGCCCAGATACGGGCTGGTTCCATAAAAGAGCTCACTGAGTTCATATGGTGCTATTTTTTCTTCACAGTTGCTTTAGAAAGGGGACAAGCAAAACCCATTTTAGTGTTAACTTCCAAGACAGGTAGCAACAAGTGCAGTTTTCTTCTAGAAGTAGCAAATTAAGACTATGTGAGAATACACGTGACTTGCAGGCCAAGTCCAATATGAATTTTTGCAGATAGAAATGCCTTTGAAACAAGTGAAAGAGTATGTGTGTCTCAGTTCCATTACATGAACAATCATGAATAAAGTAAAATTGCAGGATTCTATTTGCTACTAGAATATTTTTTAACAATACCGATAATTTGTTTTGCATGAGTGTAGAAAGATATCAAGTACTTCTAATTAATGACTTTGGTTACCATAAGTGCGAGTGCCTGAAGCAATGAGCTGCAAGGTCAGCTGCTCTCAGTTCTGCACGATGAGTTAAGCCGGAGGAAACATTTGTCTGTTAGACAGAATTAGTGTAGTCCTTAAAACTACCTTGTGCTATGAGCACTTCGTCTGGAAACCTTTCCTGTAGTTAATAAAACACTTCCTAAAACATTATCCTGGACTCGTTTTTTTTGGCTAGTAAATAACACAGCATTTTCAAATATGAGGAGCTTGAATATAAAAGTTGCTCCTACTCATATACTCATAAAAGAGGATATACCTCTTTTCCTTGTAGAGGAAAAAGGTCAGCGCTGCGAAGGGTTGTAACCTACAGAGTCTTAGGTATGATTTGGACTGCCATCTGGGATGAGGCAGTAATATGCATCACAAGTTATTCTGGGAAATGAGTGGAAATGAGTCTGATGCTAAAAGCTAACTTCTAGCACAGTCCTTGACAGTGAGAAGCAGAGGATTTAGAAGAACAAACTGCCGTTAAACAGAAGTTAAAGATAAAGCCCTGGCTGACTGTGACCTTCACTATGTAGAGTGTTGTATGTAGGAGTTCTTATCTTCAGAAAAGCCCTTCCATGAGGAGTAGAACCACAAGGAAACAAGCAGGCATCGAAGGTTAGAGTATTTTGCGTGGAAAAAGAGATTGTGAAACTGAGTTGGGAGAGCAAAGTTTTATCAGTTATCTGGTTGGCTCTTAGTTTTTAGAGCTTGTGCTGTTGGATATTGCTGCATTCTGTAAGTCACAGGCTTCCTTCAGTCTTCAACCCAGGAAGCTTTTGTGGTCACTCTAAGGATTTGTGAAAGGTAACAAAGATTAAGAAGTTTGTTTTTTAGTAAATGTTGCACCATTGTACATGGAAATGGAAGCAGCGCCTCCACTGCAGAGTTTTAGATGGTACAGAACTTGAAAATGATTGTAAAAATCTTCTAATATGACAGAGTTGCAAATTGTTTTGCACAGAAAGTTAAATATATAGGGACATACATTTTTAGTAATTATTTCTAAATATTTGAATATGATGATATAATATTTGAGGTTGGCAGCCCTGTATATGCCCATCTGAATTGTAACTAAATCCTGCGATGTGTATTTCTGTTTATAGATCATGTTTGTTTATATTCTAGCTGTTCTTGTTCTGAGTTTAAAAAAAGAAGTGTCTGCCTCACATCATAGAAATGCCCAGATTGCAGCAGAGAAAGCTCTACCTGATTTTATCACACAATTTAACATTGATTGTGTTCAAGACAAGAGCAGGCAGCACGGCTGGATGTGTGCTGCTTGTCAAGGAGCTAAATGTTAGACTGTGACATGGAAAGGGGATTGCATTCGGACAGTGTTCTGACTCTTGTTACAGGAAACAGTTAATGGGGAATTTGTGCACATCTGAAAAACTAGTCAGAGGAGAAAAGTTTGTTTTGTCTCGCCTGCCTGATTGTGGAATGGGCTTTTGCGTAGTCTGCTTTTAAGTATCAGAAGAAACACGTTCCCTTTATACAGGCAGAAGGTAAAGTTTCAACTCCTGTGAAGAAAGCTGCTCAACTGATAGTGAACTGCTCAACTGCTTGACTTGTTGTGGGTATTCTCTTAATGTTTGTGTTGTAGCGTAGACAATTTAAAACCACTTATCGTTTTAAGGAGCGGTACTTTTCTGTTAATTTGGTCTAGTTTTTGGTATCAAAAGAGATGGAGGGAAGAAAGTGAGATGATCAGCTGGAGTTGGAAAGCAAAAGCATAAATAGCTTCAGAAAGCAATTAGAGTTTCAAAAAAGCAAAGTTTAGCGAGAGTTTTAAACAGAAATTGCATTTTATGTATGGAGTTTGAGAGATTGTTTTTCTCTAAATTCTGTATTAATCTCAGTTGTGATTTCCAGAATTGATAGAATGTGCATGCATGTATTGTTATCCTGTGCTCTAATCTATGAAAGAAAAGAGCGTGTGTGTGTAGTGTATATACTTATGTATGTACATATAATTTTAATAGTCTTTTCAATATAATGTTCACACAGTATTAAAACAGTCTTTTATCTCGTTCTTATTGCTTATAGCTGAGAATTGTAGCTGTGGATCATGGTGTCTATATACTAGACACTATATTCATGTAGAACAAAAATAGGACACCAGGCTGCAGTGCATAGTTAAAAATCTTTTGGGGAAAGATAAATTGTATTACAAAAAATGCTTGGCATTTAGTAGAGAAGTGGGAGTTATCTAGGTCAAAACTGATGGGAAATAATAGGGGCCAGGTAAAGATTATTTTAAAATTAATATTGAAATAAGTAGATCTCTTTTTCAAAGTTTTGAACTATGCAGTAGAAGAAAAATGAACTACTCAGCAAAAATGGTTTAAGTGACTTAAAAATTTAAGAATGCCATATCCCATAAATCCTAAATACAAACAATCACTTTATGTTATACTTTCAAAAATAATTTGAAATTATTGTATTGAATTGAATACTAAAATACATCATGTTGGAAAAAGATTTTCTTTCTTATGTGAATAAGGCTTTTAGCTAGCTGCACATAGAATAAATAAATAATGTGTTCTGTAACCACAGGACATATGAAGCCTGGATGTAATCAGCATTAATGTTTACTCTATGTAGTGTGCAAATAAGTTCCACTCATAGTTTTGTGCCCATTTTGCAAAATGTGCATATAAAGAAGTTTCAGGAGGAAGAGAGCGGGGTTCCCTTTATATTCAAGGAAACAAAGTTCTTGGTGTTGTGTATACATGAAACACTATTAATTCAAATGCATTCAGGGATGGACTATTAGACTGTAAATTCCAGCTCTGTGTACGTGAGAAGTATCTGCTTCTGATGTAACCATAGCTTAAGCATAAAATTAATTGAATAATACTGCAGAACAGTCTTTTTTTAGACGACTGTAAAGAAGATACGAGTGCCTCACCAGCTCTTGTTGTGCTAATGTGTAGTACAGATTTGTTCTCTCTTGCCAGCTCCTCGTTTGTTCTGGCTCAAAGCTTTTTAACCATCATCTATAATCAGTAAAGACTAATTATGGATAGAGTTAATGTGGGTTTTTTTGTTGTTGTTGTTAGACTTTTTTTTCCGTCCCGCTTTTTTTTTTTTTTTCCAAATAACTTACTGCTGAAAAAATGTATCCAGATTTAACACACTGATTGCTAGATTTAGGAATGAAAAATACAAGATAATAATAACGAATCTTCCTTTTGGTTATACGAATATATACCAAATGAAAATGCTTCTGAAGTAGACTTTCTTTTTAAAATGTTGCAAAAAAATTTGAAAGCACTGTTGAAACAGTGTATTAACACATAAAGAAAGAACTATGGAGTACTAATGCAGCCTGTGTTTCTGGGTTTACTTAAAAATTGCATTAATAAAAGCTACAATAATAAAATGGAAAGGGTCACTGGAGTTCTTATATGCATCAAATACAAAGTTCAAGTGTGTTTACATTACACTATAGACCTGGTTTCTAAAGTTATTGTTATCATCTCATATCAGCCACGGTGAGGTAATAGCAGTAGAATAGACCATGAAGAAGAATCGACTTCTTTTTCGATTCCAGCAATGACTTCAGTAGTAATAAATGAGCTGTGAGCACCTCTGGCGGATTTGATAACATTCAAATCAAATATTTCATTTAACCATATCCAGTCAAGGAATATAGAGAGACACTTTTAACAGAGGGGTTGTTCAAAGCAGCAGATTTAGATGGCTTCAGTTACGCTCTGGAGAGGCTTGTCCCTTTTCTCTGGCCATCAAGGAAAACAAACAGTTTGACTATTTATAAATATGTGAGCTCTCTTCCCCTTTATTTGAATTTGAATATAATTTATTTCTCAAAACTGTGTATTTCACCTTCATATCAACCAGCTATTCAACCCTCATGTATGAAGAACACTTCGTCTCATCAAATAGCTATAAGGCCAGTTCACCTCATTCATGGTTATACAGACAGACTTTTGTTAGGGTTTGTCGTAACAATTAAAAGCATGTGATTTCAACAGTTTTTTTTCTGGTTATTTCAGCTTTATGACAAAATTAACACAAAATCTTCACCGCAAATCAGGAATCCTCCCAGTGATGCTGTACAGAGAGCCAAAGAGGTAATCATTTTAAAATATAGTTCTGACTTAGAAAGTTTTATTGTGGAACATTTACATCATCATTTGAAATACCAGATTGGTATTTTGACTTTTTATGCTAGTGAATCTCTGGACTGACTTCCAACATTGTTTACTGAAGTTACATAACATGTTGCATAAACTTGCAGAATTCCATTATATCTGCAAGGATTATATAGTTTCATCATTTAACCTTTGACATGACAATAGCAGTATTAAAAGGAATATTCCGTTTAGGCAAATGCAGTGTCTTTAATACTTAATATAATCCCATGAAGCAGAAGTTCGATATTTGTATTACTTTTTCCTAAAATACATATATAATTTTTTATAGATACTAGCTTTTACAGTTGAAAAAATAGCAGTATCAGTAATAGTCCTAGGAAAAGTGAATCTAGAGATGGAGTATATTCCAGAATTTCTTAATTCTTAAACCTGACAAGTGCAGGAAAAGTAATATATAAACAGCTGTATTATATAGCATCGATAAAAATAGTACTATTGTTCAGGATGATGTTATCTGAATATTTCATTTACAGTGCTGTTAGAATGAACAAGAAGACTGTAAAACAGTGTATAATAACTTGAGTCATAACAGTAAAAGTCCCGAAGTTTTATTTACATAAAATTTCCTAGCCACATATCCTTCAGAGGTACTTCCAAAAGCAGAACGCTTTGCTTTCATTGCCCAAGTAGTTGCATGTTGAAAATGCAGGGGGAAATACCATGTTGCAAGCAAATGAGCTGAACCATTTAATCCCTCCTCCTTCCCCAATAGTAAGCTGAAATACGGCCCAGATTTTATGAAATCTGGAGCTTGGTGGTGGTGCAGCAGATGTTACAAACATGATATGTAGATGGTCCAATTTAATTTGTAGAGAGTATTTTATGTGTATTTTTAATGTTACTTTCAAACATTGTTTTAGTAAGTTTGAGACTGTGTTGAGGGGGCGAAATGTCACCTGTGCGTAGTGCTTCATTTCGGTCTCAGTGGTACTTAACTGTTGGAGGAGTGTTGTTGGTTGGTTGGGGTGGAGGAAGACAACAACTATTTCCTTCAAATTTCTTTCATCTCCCAGAAAGCAAATTGAAGTGAGATATTTACATTTTATTTATATTGAAGTGTGGTGTTTTGATCAACCAGTGAGGGTTTCCATTTGTTTGTTTAATAGCGTTATTTATAGGAAAGTCACTGATATTTTTTTTCCTGCTTGCTTTGCAGGTATTGGAAGAAATTTCATGTTACCCAGAGAACAATGATGCAAAGGAGCTAAAGCGTATTTTAACACAACCTCATTTCATGGTAGGTTAATGATACTCATGTTGTTTTTAAATGTGTCCCTGACTATTAAAAGAAAAAAAAAAAAGTAAGTTATCCCTAAAACCTACAAATTATGAAACTTTATACAAATAAGGTACCTCTTCATAAATATTTCTAGTCTGCTAACTGACAAACAGCTACAGTTACCGTGAGACCAATATATTTGCAAGCAATTGCATAGCATGCAACTGTTACAAGGGTAAGCAACAGTTTTTTAGGAAACTTTTGTCCAAAGGAGAAGTGCTCATCAGATAGGACAGGTGTGTATGTTTGTTTTTTTTTGTTTCGTTTTGTTTTTGCTTTACTTTCTTTTGTTTCAAAAAGGAATTATAAGGGAAGATAGCATGAAAAGATGTGATGATCATGCTGATAACAGGTATTATGTTACATTGGCTGAATGCTCTTCAGTATTTTCACTAGCTCTCTATGGTTAGTGAAATGGTTAGACAACTAAAAATTCATTGGGCCAGCCCAAAGGCCTCTAGTTTAGTGCTTCAGTTTGAAGTAATATAAATTATGCTTACAGTTTTCATGGTCTTTTGGAGCTCGCTAGGAAGAATGCTCTTTGTGAAAAGAGCAAAGCAGCCTTTTGGATCTCCATAGCCAGAACTGGGATTCTTTATTCTTCTTTTCTTCCCCAAGGTCTCATAGGATAAAAATATGTGAATTTGTTCTGAAGTACATTCTTGCTTAACATTACATTTCAATAAATCAATAGTGTACATTGCCTAGTGAATTTATATGACAGATCAACGAGTGTTTTGCATACCCATTCTGTGGACAGTAATGGTCTTAAGATCGGGATGTGACCACTTAATAGCTTAATTCAAATCACTGACGTTCGCGATCTTTTGACATTAGCTGAAGGATTTCTTCTGTTCACACTGTGAATGAAGTTCACAAGCTTCAGAAATAAAACATTGTTTTCTTAAATCTGATATACATTATTGTCAGTTTAAAGTCATGTATTGTGACTCTCCCTAAACCAAGGATTATATGCTGTGGGCTGTGTGGAATTGCTCACCTGAAAGCTGAATTACTCTCTTGTAAAAAGCCTGAAGGATAAACCTAAGAAAGAGTGAGCTGAAACCACCCTCATGTTCAGGTATAAGATGAAATACGGATAGCTACATGACCCAGTATGTTCTTCTGATGATCAGAGTAGCTTTGGGTGCATCTGTTTTCATGCTAGCAGTGCTAAAGGAATTGACCCTTCTGATTTTCTCTGTACGGTGCTTTGGCTGGTATCACACACAGGTCTCTAAGCATGCAAGCTAGATTCCCATCAGATAAAATTAAACATGAAGGTGGACTCCAGAAGCTCCTGTGTAAGCAAGCTGCTAAGGGGCGTTCAGTTCACAGGGCAGAAGGAAACTGTCATGATTAAAAGCTCCCAAAACACATAAAGTGTGAAGGGCAGGTCCTCAGCACCCAGAGCTGTGTACCCCACTGACCACTCCTGGCATTTGAGTGGTATTTGAGGAATTTATTGTTTTCTACTAATGTTTATCAGGCATCTGCAACTGTGTTTGTGTTGGATCTGTGCTTTGAGAGGAGAGGGAATTAAGGCACTAATTGCTAATGTAGGTGTTAACAGTCATTTTGCTCTGTTCTCTGTAACAACCCCCCCACCATATGCCACTGCCTGGAGATAATCCCAATCCTGATTCTGTAGCAGATGTGGTTCAACATTTAACAGGGATAGATGCTTGAAATAGAGAAGAAAAAGAAAAAAACACAAGGTACAAAGGTATTCAGCCATGTTCTAAGAAAAATTTACAGAAAAAAAGAAGAAATCAGAAGCAGTACTAACTGAAACTTGGCTCCTTGTTTGGAATCTGATTTTTTTTTTTTTTTTTTTTTTTTTGTATAAGTGCTACACAGAATTGTACATATATATATTTTTATGTATACATATATATATGCACTCTGGAGAGAGGCCATTTTAAAAGAATAAATTATTTTCAAAGTAGGCATATGCAAAGTATGGCATATCAAAATTTAATATGCTAAATCAAACAACAAAAATGAGTGAAATCATCTTTTATAGGTAACTGTTTCCAACTGATTATCCTCATAAATTTAAAACCATTTGTCTTAGTTCTCTTCCATAAAAACATTTTTGATAAGGACTAAATAGTTTTGATAAATTTAGGAAGTTATCCGTTATAAAATGGTATAGTTTAGAAGTGCTATTATGGGAACAAATTCAGGATGGTAGTCTTTGAATACTGCTTTGTAAATGTTAACATTTTATCAAACTCATAAAAATGTGTTACATTTTTAATATTTGTATAGGCTTAATGTCATTGTCCTAGCTTAGCATGCTTACATAGTCAGTAGCTGTACTTATCAAAGAATATTTAAGCACATTTAATCAGTTGTGCGGTTCATTGCAGTAGGAAACAGTTAAAAAAAAATGAAGTGGTATTTGAGGAATTTATTGTTTTCTACTAATGTTTATCAGGCATTTGCAACTGTGTTTGCATTGGATCTGTGCTCTGAGAAGAGAGGGAGAATATGGAAGAGGTTATGTTAATAAAAATAAAACAGCATTTCATCTTTCAGTCCGTACTGTCTCATACTTTGTTATAATGAGCCGCCATGGGATCTGAATAGATTTGCATGTTACACGGTACTCATTATAGAACAGTTTGCCCTAAAATTAGTTTCCTAATCTCTATGTCTAGGCATGTAAATAGAGATCTGAGCTGAATTTGACCTTAACCATTGCCATTGCTTTCAGTACTCCTTGCAGGTGCTAAGAAGGTGAGTGAGAGGTAGGGCAGCGATGGTCTCCCTGGTGTGGCTGCACTAGGACGTTTCCCTCATGCACGTTGCCAAGGCTGGGCACGTGCATTCGTGGTCTGCTGAAGTTTATCTTAGGTTCTTTTACCTGTGTAGAAAGCGAGGCAGTAACCTCATGGATTTGCTCTGTGTTCTGGAAAAATCCAAAGGCACTTATAAAGAATGAGCATGGGCATCTGAGCTTATGGAAGCTGATGGAAGTCTCCTATTTTGTTATTGTGGTTTCCTCTAGGCCTTACTTCAAACTCATGATGTAGTGGCACATGAAGTTTACAGTGATGAAGCGCTGAGAGTTACACCTCCTCCCACCTCTCCTTACTTAAACGGAGATTCTCCAGAAAGCGCCAACGGCGACATGGATATGGAGAATGTAACACGGGTTCGACTGGTACAGTTCCAGAAGAACACAGATGAACCAATGGTATGGAAGGAACCATAGGTGTTTTTTTTTGTTTTTTTTTGTTTTTTTCTCTTTACAATTATTAGTAATAAAGACCAGTGCTATGTTGATTTCAAAGCAAACTTCTTCACTTTGAAGTAGAGCTGCCCGTATCACAGAATCATTAAGGTTGGAAGGAACCTCTAGAAATCATCTAGTCCAACCTCCCCTGCTCCAGCAGGGACAATATATTTGGAATATAGACAATATTCCAATAATATATTGGAATTTGTATATTTGGGATAATTTGGCGTCCAGTGTATATACTTATCCTCTTGTGTATATCCTCCTGGGAAGGAAGACAACTTAAAATGCCACTCATACATGCTAAAGACTGTATCACTATAGCTATTTTAAAATAACCTTGCAGTGGTTATACTAGATCAAGCTTTAAAATGTAAAACTGTGCTGAACTCTTTGGGCTTTAATGCAAAATTACATTTTTAACAAGTCAGAATCTTATATGATTGTATATTAAATTATTGCATCTTCATCTGCTAAATAGCATGTTTTCATTGCAAGATAAGCCATCTGTAAAATTAAATATAATACATATATAAATATATACCTTGTCAGTATTTAAATGCCATGTTTAAGCAAAAGTTTTTATGTTAAAACATGTACCCTATTTTCAGACTTTCAGCAAAAGTGACTGCTCTTAGCCACTGAAGAATTACAATACTGAATGTTTTACTGTTTTATCTTAATCAATTTCTTTCTCTAGGGAATCACTTTGAAAATGAATGAGCTGAACCATTGTATCGTAGCAAGAATTATGCACGGAGGAATGATTCACAGGCAAGGTAATCATGTGTCGTAAGTAGTTTTATTTTCAAATGTGATTATTAGGATTATTCTGTAAGAAGTATGTAGCAACACCTATTACTCTTTTTGATTGCTACTGTTATGTGGTAGTGGATCCCTGTCTGGATGGAGTCATGTTAGTGGCCTGGATCACCTTGCAGTTTTACAGGTCTGTTGGTGTTTTCAGCTGGGGGCCCATATGTTTCAGTTAGGCCTTAATTAAGGGAATGAGATTATAGCTGATCAAGAGATTGAAGTATCAATATATATTTTTAAACCATACTTATGTAATACTCTGCTTTAAAAAAATATTTAGGATAGTTACAGTATTCATCCTTGCAAAGTGGGAGAGCTTTATTGAGTAAAGAAAAACAGGCTTCTCCATATCTTTTCACAAAAATTCTGGTGATCTTTGTGCATTCAGTGTTGAAGATTATAAAAAGATTTAGGAAACAGAAATATTTTTTGTGCATACAGCTTGAATCTTTATTTTCAGTTTTCACTTCTATAGCTATACACATTGGATTAAATAGGGTATATACATTACTATATTTACTATATATATACACACACACACACACTAAATAGGGCATGTACAACTATATACTACTACAAATGGTCATAATTTGTCAGACTAAAGTTCCTTGGAGACCACTGTTCTTTTTCAAAAGAAGATAAGGTCAGACAATCAGGAAAACAAAAAACAAAATGTAGTGGTGCTTTCCGTGATACATTGATTGCAATACCTCAATCAAAATTTTGAAAAGGCATAGAAAATTATTTCCATCAAGCAAAGATGAGCGTTTACATAGATTTCTATATTCCTTTTAAAGGGTCATCTGAAATAAATTTAATTGGATTCTAAAAGTCACATTTGAAAGGAGATTGTTCTCTAAGACTTGTAGGAAGAAGGTTTTTTCTAACCATACTTAGCTAATGGTTATCCTCTGCAAAGTGTTTTCAAGTGACCATGTTCTGTTGCAGGATAGTAAAAACCTTTCAGAATTTACTAGAATATTCCAACTATACACCCATTAGCACTGGTTTGTTTTTTTTTTTTTTTCTTTTTAACAATATAGTACCTTTTATTTCAAAAACTTTCAACGAAAATTTAACTTATTCTATGATGTGCTTCATCTAATTAAGGTAGTTCTTAGGCATATAGGTTGAGATGGAAAATGAACCACACTTCAGTTTTTCTGTAGTACTGTCATCTTTTTGGTGGGGAGGGAGAGAGAGTAGGTTTGTTAGCACTCTGGATGCCCGTTACTTCACCACTTCGGTCAAAATGCCTCTATCTAGAATATTTCTACTGAACAGAAAAGCATAAATGTAAACTGATAGTGATCTCAGGCACACTGTGTCTTTTGAACCCCATTGACAGGTTCTGCGGCTTTTTGTTTTGTTTAGTTTTATTTTCAGAATGTTTCTGCTTTGCCTCATTTTGTAAGGTAGGCTGCCAGGCACTAGTGGCAATGATCCAGTAGGTATAGTGGGAGCATTCCAGTAACTGTATAAATTCACCTAATGCTATCAAGAGCAAAGTGTGAGATTCCGAATTACAAAATATAGTAGTAGTTGATGTGAAGTCTGCTGCTTATCTAAATGCCAGCTGCATCTGGTTCTGCTGATTAAAATTATGCTTTTTTTTATGAGGAAGTTAAAGTAGGAAGATAGGATTGTAAAGATACTATCTCATATTCTAGAGGGTGCAGCTCAATTAATATGAAATGCCAGTTTTAGTTGTTCAAATTTGTCAGTTCATTAACATGTCTGCTTTTAGAGGATAAGTATATGATTTGTATGTTAGGTTTAAGTACATCTTGGTTTTACTTTGGTTAAGCACTCTCACATCTGTGCTTTAAGTTAGCACAGGTGCCTGTCCATTGATTACTGATGTAATCCGTTTAGATTCCTTATGTTGTAAATATCCTTTCAGGGCATGTGCTACATATAGTCTGAGCTCTTGGCAGGTCTCATTGTCATAGGCCACAGGTATTTGGGCAGAGAGGAACCTCATGAGGTTCAATAAGGACAAGTGTAGGGTCCTGCACCTGAGGAGGAATAACCCCAGGCACCAGGACAGATTAGGGCTTGACCTGCTGGAGAGCAGCTCCACGGAGAGGGACCTGGGAGTCCTGGTTGACACTAAGTTAACCATGAGTCAGCAGTGTGTCCTCGTGGCCAAGAAGGCCAATGGGATCCTGGCTGCATCAGGAGGAGTGTTGCCAGCAGGTCAAGGGAGGGGATCCTGCCCCTCTACTCAGCTCTGGTGAGGCCGCACCTGGAGTATTGTGTGCAGTTCTGGGCTGCCCAGTATAAGAGGGACGTGGAGCTTCTCGAGAGGGTCCAGAGAAGGGGAACCAGGATGATTAAGGGAATGGAACATCTCTCGTATGAAGAGAGGCTGAGTGAGCTGGGCCTGTTTTCTCTGGAGAAGAGGGGATGGCTGAGAGGGGATCTGATTAACATGTGTAAGTTCATGAAGGGAGAATGCAGGGAAGAGGGGATAAGCTCTTTCTCATTGGTGACCAGTGATAGGACATGGGTTAATGGGCATAAGCTGAAACACAGGAGGTTCCATCTCCAGGTGAGGAGGAACTTCTTCACTGTTAGGGTGACGGAGCAGTGGAACAGGCTGCCCAGGGAGGTTGTGGAGTCTCCTTCTCTGGAGGTCTTCACCTCCAGAAGATGCCACCCTGTGCCACATGCTCTAGGTGTGCCTGCTTGAGTGGGAAGGTTGGACTAGATGATCTCTAGAGGTCCCTTCCAACCTTGAATATTCTGTGATTCTGTGATTTTTCCTCATAACTGACTGCTTGTGGGATGTGCATGCCAAAAGGTGAGTTAACTTGAAGGTTTGTTTTAGAAGAGGTCCCACTGCAGCATTTTTGAAAAAGTTCCCAAGGGAGAGGGAGGACTTGCTGATTGCCTCTTTAACCCGACAGTAAAAACAGTAGCTGTACGTTGTATGTACTACTTTCTCAAAATGACTTAATGTCAATCCCACCAAAATAAAATCATACTGACTTTTTAAGACACTGATACACATGGGTAAGGTTTATTCAATTCTAAGAAAATCCATTTGATGAAAGTATGATGTAATATCCACAGCCTTAGGCTCTCCAAGCTACAGAATTTTGCTTTGTCTACAAGAACATGTTTCTGAATAGAGACTGAGAATTTGTTCCTTCTTCTACCTAGTAGGATAGGAACTCAGAAAATTCTCGAGAGGGCATACACTTAACAAAAATGTCTTCACTGTGGCATGTAAAGAAGGATGGTTTACTCCAGAAATCCATCTGTCTTTTATTATTACATGAATAAATCACTAATAGCTTATATTAAAAGTTCTGAATAAACGTAGTATACACAAATACAAAGGAAGCTACGTTAGATGATTAAGTATATCTGTAACAGATCGTAGGAACAACAAAGGGGAATATTCATTATTTACAGATGTCAAGAATACTCTTTTTCAACAAGAATATATATAAAAAAATAATTTTGCAAATAGAAAAAAGCTCTTCCCTCAGTTTGGAACTTTCTTCATATATTCTACCAACCCATACACCCTTGATGACAAAATGACCATCTGTTGTAAAATGGCCATTCTCTGTTCCCAACTTCTATGAATGCTGCTGCATTTCTGTTAAATACCGAACAAAGTTCACTTCTGCCTGAGTAGAAGAAAAGGGAAATTCCAGAAGAGGGGATTTTGCTTAAGTGCACTATTGAAATTATTTGATACAAAGCTGTTAGAGTCTGATTCTCATCTAATATTTAACTATATTAGATTTATGTTTTGAAAAATGCTAAAAAGTCAATATACTTCTCCAGGGCATGTGTTCTTTATGATTCAATGTTATTGTTCCATAACAATTAAACTCATTTCAAATTCAATCTAGGTATGTTATGATACAATAAAAACAGGGCCACGTTTCTTTTAGAATATCTTTTGAAAATTGGGGAATTGGAGAATTGGATTTTTCTGAGAAAATCTGCCAAAACTACATTTTCAAAATGTTTCACTAGAGATCTGGTCATTAATATTCTGTATGTGAACTATATCCATTTGAAATTCAAATACAGGACTGTTGCATTCACACTCAATAAACTATTAATTGCAATAAATTATCTGCCAAAGAGTAGAATTGATGAGTCTTGTTATCACTATCAACAGATTAGCTTCTGTAGAATTGCTCAGAGCCCTTCTGAGCACATGTGACTGAAGAACTTAATCTTGAATGTACTCATTTTTTTTTGTAAACTTTGAATTATCTTCTGCAGTATTGCCATGTGAGGTTGGCACAGCAGCAAGGCAGTTCGGGGCAGTTCTCCTTCATTCAGGCTCTTTGGAGGGGGGATAGTTTGTCAAGCACAGATTTTGAACCCTCTGTGTGTGTGTGTGTCAAGTTGAATATTTTACTAGTGTGAGTGTCCTTTGGTAAAGTGACTATCTTAATACAGGATTAAAAAGAAAACTTGCAAAATTCTAGCTGATCTGCTTTTTTTCAGATGCTGGTCTATAGCTATGTTTTGGGAAAAAAATCATGAGCCGTTTCTTTTCCAAATAAAATCAATTGTATCAGGTACATTGTTTAGAAAAAGATAGTTGCATAAATTATTTAGGTCATACAGCAGAAAATAATATACATGAACATAATGCTGTGTCAGTGTGGAATGATGGTCTTGTCACGTTATTTCATTATAGAGGAAAAATGTTATCTGGCTAGCAATGTTGTGGAGTTTTCTTAAAGAACTACTAGAACATTAGATGGGCTTGAACTACTGTGGTCCAAAATTACAGTCCAAAAAGCCTCCTCAGTTGCTTCTAATCTAGAGGGCATATAATTCATTGGGGCATCTCTGCTGACCTTTTGTAGATTTTCTTAAGAGTCCTGTCATTCTACCTTGGGCCATGCCGTTCCCATTTCTGCTTCAGCAGATCCATTTATGACTCTTCTAAGACAAGCAGAAATTGGTTTCATGGTCTGAGTTTATAGGCAGTCACACCAGGCATCTGCATTCAAGTTGAAATCAAGTATGTGTATAGAAAATGCATTTCAAAATCACAGAAATAAAGAAATACAACAGCTGACAGATAAAATAGTGTGTGGCCAGAGACCAAACTGCATTAAGCAGTTGTTTGATAAAATACTTTTCTTCAGCATTTGATTTTGATGGTTTCAGATGGAAATCTCTGAACTTTCAGCTACTAGCTGCAGGTGGCTGTCTATTCAACAAGTAGGTTTTTGGAGTGTCCTTACAAGTGGGCTGATTCTTATTCCTTGTCCTGTATATGGTGCCAGAGCATCTTTATGTTGGTTTGTTGGCTTTCTTTCTGAAAGATGGACTCCTAATGCATAGCTGCCAATGTTTTTATCTGAATTTAGGCCAATTTTTTATTTCAGTCTTATTTCATAGTTATGGCTTTGTATGAATATTTGTATTATAATACAAATTTCTTATAACAGTATGTGGTGATAATCTGTTTTGTTAATTCTGCAGGTACACTACATGTAGGGGATGAAATCCGAGAAATAAATGGGATCAGTGTGGCAAATCAGACTGTAGAGCAACTACAAAAAATGCTTGTAAGTGACTGAAAACTTGCAGATGTTCTTTATAAAATGTTGTCCTTTGACAGAACTCTTCACTGCCGTGTGGCTTCTCCTTTTTCTTCCATTCTTGATAGCTGACATTGACCTGTAAGATTTGGGTTTACAGCATTTAGGGAACAGGCTCTTCCTTTTATTTTCTTAGTGTCTTTTTTGTACCTTATACAAGAAGACACCTCCAGATACTATTTTATTTATTCCGTCTAGTCCCAAGGAGAAGATCATAGTCACATAATCATCTCCAATAGATATATGTTTTACCTGCTCTGGAAAATTATTTGAATGATGGGAGGTTCCTCAAACCCTGGGCTGTTATATAATTGTCTTATATTGGGGGGGGGTTGTATGGGTTTTTTTTGTTTGTTTTTGTTTTGTTTTGTTTTTTTTCTAATGTCTACATCTTATTTGTTGCAATGCAGTATTTCTTTTTTCTCATGGATATGACAAATAATACTGTCTACTTCCTAGTACTTATAGTTAATCTCTGAAGATTTTGCTCTACTTCTTCAGTTCTTCAATCTGTACCAACTATGGTCAGGGTATACTCGGTGAGAAGAGAAATTCTGCCTGCCTTTTGGATTAATTGCTGTACAAACTCAAAGGCAATGAAAAAAAGCTAAGGAGGTCTCCAGTCCAATCTCCTGCTCCATGCAGGGTCAAGACTGAATTCAGCCTAGGTTTCTCAAGCCTTTGTCCAGCTGAGTCTTGAAAATCTCTTAAGGACAGAGATTTGACAGGACAAATGCCTCTTTGGGCAGCCTGTTCTAATATGGGTACCATCATAAGGGGAAAAGTTTTGTTTGTATCCAGCTGAAGCCTTCCCTATTTCAGTTTGTAGCTGTTGTAGCTCATTCTCTTGCCCTACCTCAGTGAAGAGTATGGCTGCATCTTCTTGGTAGCCTCTTCTTAGCTAGAGGCTCTCCTCATACCCTACGTGCTCCAGACCTCTGGGCATCTTGGTAGCCCTCTGCTGAATTTACTGAAGTTTATCAACATACTTGTATGGAGGACGAGGGTGGCATGGCGAAGAGGGTGATCACAAAACTGGGGGCACAGTATTTCAGTGGGGGGTTAGTGAATGTCAAAAAAGGGGGTAAAATCACTTCCCTCAGTCTTCTATCTGCTGTCTCCCTCAGTCCCAATCACACAGCACAGCGTGCAGTTAACATGCCTGCTGTGGAGCACCGCTGCTTTCCGTGTCGCTCACTGGCCACCACGCTCCCCCATCCTTTTCTGCAGAGCTGCTATCTAGCTGCTAGTGCAGTGAGTCTTATCACAGACGCAGGGTCGTTATCACAACAAATGTTTCTTCCTTGCCAGGTGCAGGATTTTGCATTTGGCCATGTTGAATATCTTGAGATTCCTGCTGCTTATTTCTCCAGCCTGCTTAGTTACCTCTGGCTGGGAATCCTGCCCTAAAGCAATGTGTGTGATAAATTATAAATTCACTTCTCTCACAGCACCTGTTGTAAAATGATTTTTTAAAGAAAGAGAAATAAGCAGACAGTGAAGTGGAATTAAACAGTAGAATGCATTTATATTTGTAGCCAAAGAAATTAAATTACGAGGCCATAAATTGTCATAGGAGCTGAGACTCACATCTGTATATGGCCTCATTATTCCTTCTTTAGTGCAAATGGATGTGCAAATACATTGTCACAATCATAGCCAATTCTGCAATTACTGCTTGTTATGAAACTAGCAAACTAGCAGGTCCCATCATCTGTCCTGAGGAGGGACTATCTTGATTCTACCATAGTGGAGTGATATGTGAACCTTTCAGAAAGTCTGAATATTATTTTAAAAGGGAAGAAAATGTCACTTTTGTAGTAACAACAGTGCAAATCACAGGAATATAGTTACAAAGAAAAAGTTAATATGGAGGAAGCCTACAAACGTGCATGTCTTCACTGAAAATTCCATTCTATTTTCTAGAGAAAATATTTTCTAGAGATTTTTTTTCTAAAAAAAAAATGAACAAACTGATAATGTATGTTTGACTTTTAGATTATTAAGAGCTGATCTAAAAGCTTCTTTCCAAGTGAAATTACAAATAGGCCACGATATTTCAGCTTTTCTGAGTGTTCACGTTAGGGAAAAGTACTTCTACTCTTAAAGCAGCAGTTTCAACTTTCAGTGATGGTTTCAATTCCTTTCCTTTCAAGGACTGTTTCCTTTCAAATGTTAGTGATTTTGGGGGTTTTATCTTCAATGTCCTAGTCATTAAAGAAGCACTCCTCTTCTTGCAGAGGGAAATGCGAGGGAGTATCACCTTCAAGATTGTGCCAAGTTACCGCACGCAGTCTTCATCATGTGAGGTAATGAATTTAATAAACCTTCCCATTTCTTCCTCAGTCCTGTAACTAACTGCCTGCTGATGGCTGAATGTTACTGCTTTCTGGGAAATTGTTTCTGCCTGTCCTGTTAGATCACGCACACCAATTTTACAACAAAGATAACGGAACATGAGTAGGTCCCACCTACCTACTCAGCCCTGCCTTCATATTCATCTCATCAGTACCTTAACTAACTCTTTACAGCCAATTTTTGAAAAGGAAGAGAAGGAGAAGATCCTCTAGAGTTCCTTCAACTCAAACATTTAGGAAGCTCCTTTGAAAATCACATTTTAAAGTGCATTCTTCAGGAAGTCTATTAGTATTCCTAAGCTGAGGAACATTCCTCCTTTTTTAAGCATAAAACACTATTTTATTGCTTTGGGCTGTTAAGGGTTAATTGAAGAATCTGTTTCTGTATAACCCTGTTCAGGTAAATTTGTGATGATTGTCTGTAACAGTTACATGTGGCTTAATATTATGTTTCCATGCAAAATTAATATTTTGTCATTGTGAAAGAAAAATAGGTTTGGAGTTCAATTCTCATCGAGCTAGAAACTGGATGTTGTGGGGGTTTTGCATAGTAAAATTGAGATTGTGAGAAAAAAAAAGAATCAAAGTTATGTTCCAGATTGCATTTGAAGGGAATTAAATTCTAGAAAATGGCTTCTTGAGAGATCCTGTTGCAGTATAAGCATACAGATGGCATATGCCCTATGTAGATGATGCCAGACCTTCTGTGCCACATACTGAGCTACGTAAATAGTCCCCAAATTAGAATATAAAAGCATGAAATCACAATTCCTGTTGAAGGAAAGCACCTTAGGTTAATTAGACCTGGATTTCATCTCAGTTGTTTGTGTCTCAGCAGATGCTAGAACGTATAGAAAGTACTATTTTGTTTCAAAGCAATCCTTTTGGGAAAAAGAATAGTCTTCCTTACTTTTAATAGAAGTTATCAAGAACTAAAAGGTTAGGATTTCAGAGACAGAAGGAATGTTTGACAGATTTTTCACCTGAGGTCTAATTTCTTTAAGAGGTATAAATATAAAAGCAAACAAATACTCTTGGGAGTGAGGTACTTTTTATATTATATTATTACTGTTTACAGAATAGGAGTCAATACATAAATTCCTCAACACATTCTATAATTTTTATTTGAAACTTTTTTACAAGACTATCTTTATTAGTATTAGTATTCAGCAATTGGCAAGACTACAAACTTCTGGGAAGATGATTATTTGGAGAAAAATAAGTCTAACCTATGAATTTAAATTAAAACCATTAACTGTCATTTTAATAATAATAATAGGTCATCTCTTTTCCTTAGTTTTCTGTCTTTAGGTTCTTTGCAATATTTATTCCACAGGAAAGAGGAACATGGACTATTATCTTCATGTGGACAAAACAGGGAAACTTATTTATTCCAACCTGTGGCTATTTGCATTCTTTCAATCAGAGGCACCTAAGTCTATTCCAACTGCTCTATTGCAGCTATGACTTTGAGTAGCTTTACAAATGCTAAGAGTAGCTTTACAAGTGCTACATAAAAAGTTAACATTTCAGATTCATCCTATTAAATGATCTCTAGTCCTTTGTTACAAATAGAAATTTTCCTTTTCAGAATTTTTCAGGATTGTGATTCAGATGAGGAATCAAGATTTTAGTATCAAGTTCTTAGCCATTCATAGAGGCCAAAAATGGATGTTGAATGTCATTAGTAACCCCCCAAAATCATTCCTTCTACTGCTCTCTGGCAAGATGTATATAGAGATAACTGGTCTTCACTAGTGGGTTGCTGCTCTACTACTTGGGCTAATTTTGACAGCACTTTACACATTTCCTGAACTCTCTTGGGTGTTTATTTCCTGCCTTCCTTCATAGACAGTTGCTAATGTAATGTACTTTTATACCCACATTGGAATATAGAATAGAATCAGCATCTCCTACTGTGATCGTATAGGATTGCAAAATATCTTGTTGATCTTAAATATTCGGAAATAAATATCAGAGTATCAAATAAGAATCAGAGATAGTCTGCCTACATGCTATTTTATACAGAATCTGCCTATATACCACTGTATACAGAGTAATGGGGAAGGGTTGAAAGGAACCTATTTTGACACAACTGAGATTTGCATGTCACTTGTCATTTTTTTTCTCTTTTGTGGACATTTCAGAGAAGTGTTGAGGGATGATTCCTTTCTGAATATGAAGCCACTTTTGCAGATATAGAGAAGTCTGGTCCTTACACATGTATAAATACTTGAGTATTGTTCCCAGTTTTCACTGGGAAGCTTTCAAAATCTCAAGCAAAAAAAAAATCAATCTTTTTGGTATTCATGCAGCCATGCCTTCCATTCAGTGATCAGGGTTTTCAAGGCATTCTTAAGGGTTTTTTGAAGGAGTTGGGAGGTTTTATGGTGCTCTTTTTATTACTTTTTAGCTTTCATATTAACATATATCGCAATTATACTTCATTTTAAATTTATTTTTTCTTAATATTTGTTAATTTTTAAGAGAAGCAGTTCAGATATTCTTAAAAAGATAACTTAGTTATCAAATCTCCGATGCCAAGTAGGAGTTACCAATTAAGATAAACTATTCATTGAAGCACTAATACTCTTGTAGATTATTTAGGAACACTTTTGTGCTTCAAAAAGGTTCTTTGACATATTTGCTCTGTACTTTTTCAAACTAGTCATGACAATTATTTTCTCCACAAAATTTGAAAACATGTCCCTAGTCTAATTTCTGCAAAGAAAGTAGAAACTGGCGCAAGAAACTGGTTTTAAGGTCAGGTTTGGATTTATAGTCTGTCATCTTGACAGTCAGTTTAAGACCTAGAAGCTTTCAATCACTAACACACACTCCTGATTTTGTAGAGTAGACTATGCTTGAAAAACTATTACTTGTGAATTCCCATAGAGTCTTGATCTGTTGATCTGTTTGAACATCTGTTATTTAGTGGTCAGCACAGTACATACCTTTTAGTTTTTCATGCATCTAGGTAGCATATTTAGCCTAGATGTTCTTTTCTGCTTCACGTCTCAAGGAAATGGCAGGCTCATGCATGCATGTAAACATAAGTAATTATTACAGCACAAATTTCTCATGTATGATAGCTATATGCTATTCAAACATTTCACCTAATCCTATATGCAGATGAGTATACCTATCTACATGTATGTTCTTACTTTCCACTGAACAAAACTGACTAACTCTTTATAGTTTTAAATATGTAAAAATGCCAAGGGAAGTACACTTGTTTTACAAGGAGCTTTCCATATAAAAAACAGCTCATGATTTAGAGTGTTTCTGTGAAACATTTCCATTCCTTCAATAAGAAGAAAAGCCTTTATACACATATATGTAAGATTTTAAAAATCCAGTGGTAATCATCATGGATTTAAGAATAATATTTATATAGCTTTTATGTAGCCTTGCAATGTTTGCATTAGCACTGAGACTGTAAGCCTTTTACAGTTGTATTATAAATACTTCCAGGAAGATTCCTCGAGTAAATCAGGGACTGAAGAATACTTGCAGATTCTGGAGATCTGGTGACTGTGTCATTGATCTGGTTGTTCCTGTCAAGCCACATTCAATAGATGTAATTGATGTCTATAGGATTACATGTTCAATTACATGTCTTAACTTTTTAATTGATCATTCATATTCAGCACATAAGAACAAGGCATCAATCCCGGGCAAGTAGTTTTCACTGTGTTTGTTCCCTTTAAGGATTTATATGTGGTGCTTGAACTGAAGAAGGATCCAAAACTCTGCTTCTTTCTTATTTGGCCTAGGGTTACTCAAATTCGAGAATTCCAGATATTTAAGTAATACTGAAACAAGTTGGTATCTCTTCTGCATGACTCAGAATCATCTGAGCTTCCAAATGTTTTTTGGCTCTTATCCCCAGGGTAACTAAGACTCATTTCTTGGAGAAATAAACTCAAGAGGCAAGCTGAGGTTTTCCACTTGAGTTCTAAGCAGTCCTAGCATTCTGCAAGGAAGTCTCTACTCATTCCATTCTGTTCTTACTAGACTGTGCATAAGATACAGTTTTCCTCTTATCTTATCTATTTTCACAAAGAAAAGCCAGGTTTAGTGGAAATAAGAATATAAGTGCTTTTGAAAATTTGGCTAAAGTGACTTTATATTTAAAAGCTGTATAGATGCTTCTTGATTTGATTTATTTATTTATTTCTTGGAGTTAGTCCTGAAGTCGCCAATAGTAGTGAAAATGTAGATTTTTCCCCCCATTTGTCATGATGAAAATATGCCATAAATAATACGCTGTTTCTGAGAGTTGTGTGAGGAATATCAATCAACGTGTTCTCAAACCAAGAAAATTTCCTTCAAAGGGATAAACCATCAACAGAGTTCAGAAATACGTAATATATTTTCAACTTATTTTTCTCCAAATTTCTTGGGTGCTTGCAGCACTTTCAAAGCCTTCCCATGCCAAACCAACTCTTGACTAGATCACAGCATGTAGATCCTAACAAACTAGATTTCAAAAGTAAATTTTAAAAATCCCACTGAAGTAAAATTGATCCTTCACCTCTCTTGAAAGTGAGAGAAATGGGCAAAAGTGGAATTATTAAGCCAAAAGTTCAGCTACTTTCTGAAGAGGATAGGTATAAGTGAAAGATTTATTTATGAGAGAAAAACTACTCTCAGCCATTACTTGATGTTAAAGGTTCAGATGATACATCATATGGAAAAAAAATACAAACAGTCCTTTTAGGCATATATAATCTTTTTCTGCAATAAAAAGTAGTTCATGTGGTCTCATTTGAATGTGTGAAATTCTTATCCGAGAATGATTTTGTTATTAGAACTAGGACAGATTTTCCCTCCAAGCTGTTAATATATCACAAATAACTGGGAGATCTAAATGAGCATCCCTTTTGCTCTTAGATATGTAGCAGAAGGATGCAGACCTACCTACTTAGAACCACAAATACTTTACAGTCATAATATTATTAAAACTGTAGTTAGCTGTATTAACAGCGAAGCATGCTTCTAGATAGCTAGGTATGAAACTCCATATGAAGTCAGATCTAATTAGTCTAACAAAAAGTCCAGAAGCTCTAAATTAGTTTGTTACACTTCAAATATATGGGCAGCAAAAGTGATAAAGTATTGCTTTTTATTTTAATTGTTTATCAGTGCCTTAAAATAGCTGTGAGTTCTGTCACATAATTGCTAAAAGTTAGTGAATGTTAATGGAGGAACTTAACTGGAATGTTTTCACTTGAATAATTTATCTGCTATTTTGATATTTAATTTGATCACTAAGGGCACTTGTGTCGATAAAATGTAGCAGGGATAGCCTTTCATTTGGAAACTCAGTCCTTCATTAGCAAACACTCTTCAATGGAACTTTAATGCAGAATGTTTTATTCCAAAATTCTTTTGGAGGATAGGAGATTTTTTTTAACAATGTGTAGTTAAGTATTTGATTTCCTGAAGATGTGGCTAATTAAATTCAATTTTCTGATCTTCCAGGAATTAAGTTTTGCTATACTTTTAAAAAATGGGGAAAAGTTTGCTCAACAAGCGGCTTTTTTGCCTTTGTAAGATCCAGTCACAGATTTCTATTACCCTTTCCATAACCTTTTCTAGGATGCATTCTCTGCATCTAGTCTGTTCTCACTGAAGTGCAGAGCTATGCCAGTAGTAGTCTGAGGCAAGAAAGGTGCCTTTTTTTATTTGATATGTTTTACAAAGTTTAATATTAACACTCGTAACATAATTGGAGGAAAATTACAGATTGCAAATTAGAATGGACGAGGAGTGGGAAGAAGAGAGTATCCAACTTTCTTCTCCTATGGCAGCTTCAGCTTTTTCTGCTGTCTTTCAGACACTGCATGTAGGTCCATCTGACAGAGTAGAAGCTGAGCAACATTAACCTCAGCATATGTGAAGAAAAAACAGATAAAAGCTCATTTAAAATGCAATGTGTGTCTCATTCTGCTCAAATTACTCAGTGTGTAATGTTTTGGTAACTACCTTTAGCAAAGACTCCAATGTGGCCAATCACCTTCAGCCTTGTCAACTGCTTGAGAATTAAGAGCTCCAGGACATTCAGTAATTAAAAAGTTGTTTGATTGCTAAGGCAAATAGAAAAGTAGTTACTCTGTAGGATAGATCAAACTGTCAAACATGGATCTCCAACTACAAAAAAAAAATGTTCAGATTTCTGGAGTTTGTTGTGTGGAAACTTTCGCAGATGAACCAGCTAAGTAGATGGTTATAAGGCTGTGGATGTAACTGTTCATTTAAATATATCTATGTTCCTGTGATAGTGTTGTGTTGTTAATGAACCTTGTGTCTTATTTCAGAGAGATTCCCCCTCTACATCCAGACAGTCCCCAGCTAATGGTCATAGCAGCACTAACAATTCTGTTTCGGTAAGATTTCCAGTTCCACACAGAGCAAGTGTGAAAGTTTTGTTGGTGCTCATCTGCCATTACTGTTCTACTTCTCGTGTGCTCAGTGGAAAATTATGTTCTGCTGATGGAACCAAGGTTATTACGTACTGGTCTCCCCGTTTTCTTTTTCAAGGGTTCTTTTTCCGACATAGTCGTCTCATTAAAAACCATGTAGTAAGTTAAATGTTAATGACTGTGAAGTGCCACCTCAGTCATCCTTAAAACATTTGTTAGCCGTTTCCAGAAAGCTAAGTAAAGAGGAAGCCTGATTTCCACCCTAAACTTTGGAAGCAGCGTTTGAAGCAAGAATACTTGTGCAGTTGGTACTCGGAGACATTTTTAAGTTTTGTGTGAGACCTCTGGAATGTGTCCTGGTTTCCGCTATCTGAGTTAATGAATTGGTGTGCCCTCTGCTCTTGTGGTACGTGCACATACTGTGTGACAACATGAGCCTTGCCTGGATATGAAAAGCAAAAGGAAGTGGCTTTAAACTGCACTACGAACCGAGCTACTCTCATAACATCTTTAACACAAAGTACTTCCTATCTCATGTGTATTCAGGTAGAAAGGTGCTCTCGATCTCCTGGATTGGGAAAGCGTAGTGGATGTTAAAATTTGTGTTGTGCATCATTTGTCGTTGTTCTGACCGATGTGGTAACTGTACATGCAAGTTCCTTCAGTCAGTGCTGTCAATACTGTGAGTTCTTGGGACTGGCTAAAAAAAAACACAACTAAGCCTTTTAACTAATGAGAAAATTACAATTTAGAAATGATTGCCACAAGGTAAAGTACTTTATTCCAATGAAAAGGAGATGTATGGGTGAAAAAAAATACAAAATTTTGGTAAATTCTTTTGAATTCATAACATGATTCGTGGTAGTTATTCTGTGGAACAATTTATCACATGATATATTTCCTATCATAAATTTTCAATATTTCTTATAGCATCATTCTGATAAAAATCAAGCTTAAGCATTAAGTGGAAAAAGGCATTCACATGAAAAGCCTCTTTCCCTTACAGGTGCTTTTGTGTTGAAGATGCTGCATTGTTTATTAAAAAGCACATTTTCTACCTGCTTAAACTTTTTACCTGCTTTCTTCAGCTTGCTGCTAAACAGCCTGGGTTTGAGTTTTCTTTAAGAAAAAAGTATTTCTAAAAATGGGTCAATGCTTTATACTTTTGTCTGACTTGCAATTTTATTGTTATATAATGTGAATCACTAACAAATGATGCTGTGTACCCTTAAAAAGTAAAATGAAAATTTCTTTTCCTGGGTTGACTTTATTCTGCAGGACTTGCCATCGACAACACAACCAAAAGGACGACAGGTGAATAGAAAATCCTCCACGGGAATTTTTATAAACTTAGCTGCTAGTGAACACCCCTGCTTATCTTTTCCCCTTCCATATCCTGTATGTGCTGGACTAAAACATTTGAGCTTGGAATTTTTATTCCATTTTCCCATTTTTCTTTTTAACTCATTTGTATGTGGCTAATCCAAAACACCATTTGTTCATGTGTCCATAAATGTGACAGTTGACTGACACTAAAAGGGAAAGTTTATAATAATTTAAAACACGTATAGACAACTTCTGAAGCCTCGGTAGTTCATATTTAACTACTTCTACAAAGTTTTTCAAAGAATATATTCAAAATAGTTTCTATTTAGAGCTGATAACCCTGAATATAATCTCGCATGTTTTCAGTTCTGAGGACCAGAGTCATGAAGATCCCTAAGTGGTGTAACCTTCACCTGAATATTTGTTGTACATGTCATTTGAAACAAAAGATCTTCCCTCTCCAGAGAATTCCAGGAGATCCCTTTTAGGGTTCTGCAGATGATTCCTAGTTATTCACTGAACAATTTTAAGGTTTTTTTTTATTGCACGCTCTAAATGAGCACACAGCATGTGATTCATCTTCAATAACTACTCATTTTATAAGTAGCATTTCCAGAACCTGCTTCTAAATCTTTAACCATGGAGACAAGCCCTTACTCTTCCAAGGGTTTTAATAATATTTGTGACATTTTTTCTTCATGCAAAAGAGTGGACTCCATGATCTGTAGTCTTTGAAAATCTTTCTGTACTGTTAGCTCAGTTGTGATATCACATTTTTAAATCTACAGCTACACGGTTCCTTTGGGTTTCTGAGTCCTCTAAGCTTTTCAAGGCTGCCTGAACACAGTCCTTGGAAGGCTACCCACTCCCTCTCCACACACACAGCCCTGCATTTTTCCTAGGAGACAAGAGTTACTTAAAGACAATATCAAAATTATGTTTCTCCTCAGACTTAAACCATCTATACCTTTTTATTTATTTAAAAGAATTCTTCTTATCCCTGAGACCACAAGGGATACACTGGTGTATGTAAGGTGTTACAGGCTTGTAACACTCCATGAACAGACAATATTATCCCTGGAGCAGGATTAAATAGATAAGTAGGGCTCAAAATGGAGCAAGCAGTTTAACGATATAACAGTAACGATAGTAAACGTATATAAAACAATTTTATGAAAATAAGTCTAGTCAGTTTTTAGTTAGAAGATCATCAGAGTGCACGTGGCTGTTTGAGTCTCTGTAGGGTAATGTGTGACATTCATAAACTGTATAAATTACCCAAACCCTTGCATCTGATCTTATAGCTAACATAATTATTGAAAAGGGCATCTGATTTTTCCCCTTCATTCTATATCATGGTGTTTGTGACATTTAACTCTGATTTTTAAGACCCTTAGACACACCAAAACTGTATTTAGCAATCAAAACTGGATTTCAGTGTTATTTTTATTTCCTAGGGTTGTTTATTTCCTAGTGTCAAGGACCTCACTAATACACAAAGCAAGGTTTGCTATATTATTAAAATTGTGAAGTCAAAGTCCCCAGTCTTACTGTTTATGTCCCTTAGAGAATAATATACTCAAACCATTAGTTTTAATTTTTATGGGAGTAGAATTTTATTGTAAAAACTCTGCAGAGATTTTCTACATTCCCCCTAAACAACTATATATTTTAGGCACAAACCTGTCACTAAATCCTATTTAACCTAAAAAAATACAGTATTAAATTTTAAAACTAAATATTAATGATTCATAATGTAGCACAAGTTCGTTGGACTGTTCAGTAATATTTTGGGTCGTGATTTTTTTTAATTTATTTTGCTACTTTAGTTGGAAAAAAACTACAGCTCAAATTATAGGATACTAGATTTGAATCTGTAATGATTTATTACAAGTAATATTGTTCTGAGGGACTCTACCTGTTTATATTAGATCCACACAGAGTCTTCAAAAGTGAAAATGTATTTATTGCTGTTCAGATTTTGCAGTGTGTAGAAGATATGAGTATTTAAAATAACACCACGTCTCCATTGTTCACCATTTTTTCCCTCTCATTTTGAACTATTGCATATGCTCTTGCCACTCAGTTTCCTCCTCTGCTTGTTTGCAAACAGTGTGTGTGGCTGTGTGTACATATCAAAGTTTCACCTGTTATTTTGTAATAGTAATGTGCATACCATTAATAATATGGCAGTGTCTTTTAAAAATTCTTCTTTATAGATATATGTAAGAGCACAATTTGAATATGACCCAGCAAAGGATGACCTCATCCCCTGCAAAGAAGCTGGCATCAGATTCCGAGTTGGTGATATTATCCAGATCATTAGTAAAGACGATCACAACTGGTGGCAGGGTAAACTGGAGAACTCCAAAAATGGTACTGCAGGTCTTATTCCTTCTCCTGAACTTCAGGAATGGTATGACTTAGATTTTATACAGAAACAAATTTACCTTTGCTTGTATTTCTGTCCTTCATATTTTTCCACTGATGTACAGCTAGTTTTTATGTAATTTTTTTTACTTTTTTTTTAAAGAGTATTTTTCCTCATATTCTATGGCATTGATTATGTTTTCATATATACTAGCATGCAATATCAAGTGTATAGGTACATCAGAAAAATAAACACCTTTTTAATAAACTTTATTTGTGCATTCTGATATGCTTCGGGGAACTTTGGACTGAAGGCTAGGTGCAAATATTTATATGAAGGGATCTTTTTATTTTCTTTTTTAGATTCTAAGCATTGTTTTTACTACTATTACTGATTTGTGTGTACATGCTTAGGAATGAGGTGTTAAAATATTTATCAAGCAGAAAGGTCGTAGAGGGAGCTGAGTCTTTCCTCCCCTTCTCTTTATTCTTGTGAAAGTCAAGAAGTAGAAAGAAATCCTAGCACAGAGATTCATGAATGGTAGGTAGCCTGTTTAGTAAACATCCAAAGTGTTTGCTAGAGTTTGGACAAATCCCAAGTCCTTCACCGTAAGTGTTCTCGCCATACCTCAAGAGAATTTGTCAGTGTGGGTTGTCTAGCCCAAAATATTTCATATTGGGTTGTCCGTGTAAAAGAACTAGAACTCTTTAAGAGTATAAAAGCACCCGTGCTGGCTGAGAGAGATTTTGCTAGAAGAGAAGCCAGGGGTAGAGGGCATCTCCAGAGCTCCCTTGCAAGCCCTGCTGCAACAGGGACACTCGTATGCATCACAGCAGGGAGTGTCATGCAGTCCTTCATCTTCAAGGTCGTCGTGAAGAGGCTTCCACAGCTTGCCCTGAGATAATTCAGACCATTGTGGCCTTTCCAGACTTTGGACTCTCCAGTCCAGACTGTTGCAAAGGGGTCTGCAGCCATTTTAGTTTCCCTTCTTCCCATGGTCCCATGATCTGTGAGTTTTATGACCTACCACCATCTTTATAGCAAAATATCTCTGTAAATAAGTGCTTGTCATCAAAATGCAAGTTTTGAAAAGTTTAGTGTATTTTGTGCATTGAGTGGCCTTTCTCTAATTCTAATGTCTTTTTAAAATATGCTTATTGCAATAAACTATATTTTCTACTCCATGTCAGGCGCGTTGCTTGTATTGCCATGGAGAAGACCAAACAGGAGCAACAGGCCAGCTGTACTTGGTTTGGAAAGAAAAAAAAGCAGTACAAAGACAAATATTTGGCAAAGCACAATGCAGGTATGAAAAAAAAGGTGCAAGTATCTTTAATAGGTTAAGTGTTTAGCAGTCTGAGCCTTGCCTTAATTGTTCAGCTGGCACTGTTACAGAAACCTAATTAGTTACTTAGAAAAAAAAATATGTAAAATCCTATTTATGCCGACATTGTTTTGCCTGTTCTCTGCTATTTAAACATAGTGCTTAACCAGTGAGAGTGAATGCAGGCAAGCTGTGATAAAATAAATGAATCATAGCATAAAGTAACTCCATCATAACATTTGCTTAAATTGCTTTGGTTTCTGTATTTAAAGGAGAAATAGAAACAACAGGATATGAATTTTGCAGTTGGTATCATCTTTTTAGTATTGTACTGTGCACTACAGAAGACTGTCTGGAAGCATCGTTGTTAATAAGTGCATATAGTTATAGATTGTATATGTGAAAACATTGCTAAGGGCCATATTTCTTGGAGACTTACAGCTAGAAGCAGAAGTAAGAGGCACTGCGTATTCAGCATGGGTTTCCCCCCAAATGGGTCAAACTGGAAGCTTTTTCTCCTCACAGTGGTTTATGTCTGAGGTTTTAAATTCTCTCTAGAGTGCTGACAAAATGAATAGTTCAGTGGGAAAGAGGAAGAGCCCACTCTTCATGAGAAGATTTAGTTTGTCTTGTTTTGTAATATAAAATAATATGCAATCTGCTTTTACTGCTTTTTCATTAATCTTGGGCACTACATTGACAAGTATGTTGTGGTGGTGCCTTGAGCGAATGAGATTATCAAAATTAAAGGACAAGATTTGTCGAATTATAATGAAGGTATTTTTATATAGCATTAATTTGGAGACAGGGACACTGCAGTTATTTTCTTAAACACTGAGGAAGTACAGATATGTATTTTCACATTTCTTTTTATCTTAGAGCAGCATCAGAACTCGTAATATATCAGTACTACAACATTTAAAGTTGATTTGAAAGTGCAGTGTAAGAAAGTCAAGGAACAGTAATTGTCTCCTGTAATTCTTAATTCACAAGCACTTTTGCGAATTTTGTGAATTTGTGAATTCATAGTTCACAGTGGAATGTACAGTTGGCCGTTAGTTCAAAACCCATTTTGTGCCGTGTACGATTATGAGACAAATACAGATTGATAGTTTTAACTTATTTTCATTCTTTTTGTGCTCTATCATTCTGGATATTTTAGAGCTTTCATTTCACTGCAGTAATATTAAACCATCTTTTACCAGTTAATAACAAAAACTGTTGAGGATAAACTGGACTTTTATGACCTAGAGTCTTTGACAAAACTGTTTCTAAAGTATTGTCAGTTTTCCCAGTATACATTTGCTAAACAGGCTTCTCTGCTCAGTTGTGCCTATGTGACAGTTTGCAGGGCCATGCTATGAATTGGACTGAGGTTCTGAACTGGCCCCAAAATCAGCCCAATGAAAAATGTAGATTCTTTTTCTTTAGGGCAGATATATTTTTTTAATCCAGGTTACAGCGCAGCTACATGGTTAATAATATCAGTGGGACTGAGCATGGCATGCTGCAAAGGAATAAGCAAAGGAAAGGTTGGCCAGGAAAGGAGCAAGAAGTGGCGCTGAGCCAGGTTTGTCGTTTATGAAGACACTGATCAAAGTAAATCCCAGTTAGAGGAGAATAATTTGGACTTTTCTTGATTGGTGTAGGAGGGACATTTTAGAGTAGGTTGCTGGCCCTTTGACTCCACAGTTTGCCCGCCTCAGTGCTTACCACTATTAGTGCTGTTGGTCATTTTTCATTAGAACACAAAGTTTCCCAAGAATTGTAAATGTTAACATGAAAAATTGTCAGAGTTGTTGTTAAAGAAAATACCTGTTACTTGTAGAATGCCACTCGACACGTCTCCTTTCTCCTAAAACATCAAAAGTTTGACCAAAGCACTGGTTGGAACCAGAATTTCTTTTGAAGTGTGAATTCATCTCTAGGCTCCAGGAGATATAGTAATGCTCCAGAGAATGAAAAAAAGTGTAGGATATCAAGGGGTTTGCTGAAATGATCTAATGCTAATGTTAACAAGTTCATTAAGTGAGGTGGTACAGAATTCTATGTTTCATTTGTGGTATCATTAGCCACAAATACTACTACACTTTTTTTGCAGTCTTTCAGTGCATCTGTCTCAGAATTCAAAACTGATCTTTTCTTCTGTTGGATCCAAAATTTGGATTATTGATTTCTATTGAAAAGTGTAATCTAGATGTCATAATCTTGATCTCATAAGAAAGCTGATGTTTTTCTCTCCTAGACATTAGCATATAATTTATTAGTTTAGCGATGGGTAATCCTTTAGGAGTCCTCAGTTACTTCTCTGAAGGATGAGATTGTCCTGGGATACTGAGAAATGAGATAGTAAAACACTTTGCACTTAGTTAAGATTTCTATAGCCAGCTAATGATTTGAGAGCTAAAATTGTGGTATAGTTATGTCCGTCATGTTGCTAGAACTAAAAATGACATTATTCTACATCGAGATTTTTGATTTTGAAGCCGAGAGGAAAATACTGCAGTTACTTCTTATAAATAAATGTCAATATTTTCTCTTCTACAAAAAAAAAATCATCATAACACTTTTCATCTCTCCATATTTGGCCCTAGGGTATTGCATTATTTAAGAGGCAATTTCACAATTGTGTGTCTCAGCAATCTAAAGTTTGTTTTAAAACACAGCCCACAGGAAAAAAAATATCTTACACATTAGGTTCACTGACGTTTTTATAAATGCTCTAATAATGACATTTGCATGTTACTGCAGGATTTCCTAAAAGAACAGTGAAAGAAAACATACTAGAACTATGCTTCGTATTATGCTTATACTGATGTAAAAATTGCCAAGTTTATTTTGTAAAATATGTTTATCATTTCTTAATGTGATTTATTTGCCTTGTGTTTAGACTATTGCATGGTAAAGTTTATTTTGTGCATATACTTTTTATTTTACTAATATATTATGAGCCATATCTCAATGACCCCTGTACATTTTTCATGCTGTCTTACTCCCAATGGCCTCTGTGCATGTAAGTAACCTGTCAAGTGACAATGCCTCTTTATTTGCTTCTTACTGTTTCCTTTCAAGAACTTCTTTTCTTTATTAGCTAGTAACACAGAAGCATTAACAGATCAGGCTCTAAATGTGCCCTGTGCCCCTCCTCTCTTGTGTATAAGAAAAAAAAAATAATGTTCCCTTTGTGTTTGAAGACCCTGCAATCATTAGATAACTGCCTGTAGACCAAGACATTATCTTCTCCATGCTCCCAGTTTGTGATGAAGGCATTAATATGTCTCATTTTTGGTGTTTGTTCTTGTTTGCATCTAACATTAATGTGGTTTTGTCCAAGAGGAATATTAAGGTTTTTTTGTTTTGTCTTGTTTTTTTGTAACAGGGAGGGATACTTGCTGTGCTAGATGGTTAGAATGGTAGAGCTGTTGAACATCTGTAGATCTTTACCTCTTCCTAATATGAAATGAACTTACTGGTTAATTTAAGTACTGTGAAGGTACAAAAAGGGCAGTAGAAGGAATTGAAACTCTATGTTTGTAGTTGTGTGGAATGCAAGGAAAAAAAAGACCAAGTTTGCACTCCAGAATACAAGATTGAAAGACGTTTTCCTTCAAGTTGGAATTCAAAATGTTGCAAGTGGACAATTATGTCAGCTGTGGTGTAGTGGTAACAGTGTAGTAACAATGAAGTAGTTACACCTTTCTTGGGGATGAAAAGGCAGCAGTTGAATGCAAATACAAAAAAAAAAAAAAAGCCGCCCTCTAAAAAGGAATATATTGATTAAATCCTTTACCGTATTTTATTTCTTTAACTGGGAATATGCTGCAAAGAATGTGTGTTTCCTAGTAAGCTCGACACCCTTAATGTCCCTTGATCATGGTGAAGATTTCAGGGGCAAGCAAAGTGTCCCCACTGCCTTCCCAGAGGAGTTTTGAGGAGGGGGAAAGAAGGAAGGAGGAACCAAGTCTCTTCCTGGAACATGGACAGGATGTGGCTGAGACAAATACAGCAGCCCCGGGGCTGGAAGCCTTCGGAAATCCCATTGATTAGGTGCTGTCTCCCTCCTTACGGCTGCAACAAAGACAAAACTGGAAACTCATTAGTTGTTCTTTTCACACTTTCCAATTGCTCTGTTTTTTAAAAAATATAGTTAAAGGTCTTCAGCTTATTTTTTATTAAGAGTTCTGCAGAAATAGCCAAAAATGCTGTGTTATTGGGCACAAAGGGAAACATACTGATTTTAAGGAGCAAAACTTGATTTGAATACATTATATACCTTGGCAATTGACAGTGGGTTGATTTGATGGAGTGGATAGATATGGTGAAATTCATACATTGCAACTGAAATTATTTCTGAAGTAATGACTATTTTTACAACAGTGGCGATTCTTTTATGTAGAGTAACAGCACTTCTCATTAAAACTTTTCATTCTGTCACAAGTTTTAAAAGCATGTGAATTTAACTTGCACTTGTGTTTAAAGAGAACTCTAATTACAATTAATCTGGTAGTTGTTTTGAAGAAGAAATATTGTGAAGAATTAGCCGTCATCTTATTCGTTCGCATAAATCTTGTTTAAATACAATTGTGAAAGTAAGCGCTACCGTTAGTGTAAATAGATGTTCTCATACTGTATTCATGTTGGTCACTGTCTACTGATTTTTTTTTTTTAGTAGTATTGCTAGCCCTTAGGAATGCAAACGTGAATGGCATGCTTTTTTAGCTGATTTTTGTTGTCTGCTGAATACTGCATGAAAGGACATGCAAACTCTTCAGAGCATTTCAGTAGCTTTGTGACTGCTTTTTAACAGCTTTTAAATGAACATTTTTGTTAAAATTGCTTAATAAAGTGACTTTGTTTTCCTTAATGTATTACATTTTATTGTAAATCTAACACTGGTGAATTTGTTATTTCTTAGCACAATTAATTAATTATCTCCCTTAATATGCCTTTTTCTCTTACCCCGTGGGTTCTTTTTTTTGTGTGTTTTAGTGTTTGATCAATTAGATCTCGTCACATATGAAGAAGTAGTAAAACTACCAGCATTCAAAAGGAAAACACTAGTCTTACTAGGTAATTTTGAGTTATTATTCTGAACAGCTAGTCTTGAACCTCTTGTAGTGGCAGATACGTAATTCATTTTTGTGTTGTGGATTAGGTGCACATGGTGTTGGAAGAAGACACATAAAAAACACTCTCATCACAAAACACCCAGACAGATTTGCATACCCTATTCCTCGTAAGTAGCGATATTAAATGTTGTACAAATTTGTATATAGCACTTTTGACAGCAAACGCTTTGTAGTACTGCATATGTTCAGTTGTCTTGAGATGATGTTTATGCTAAGGATGAGTGAAATGTGGTAGTACTGGATATATTTCTGTTTTTCTTTTTGCAGAGGGAGGGGTAATTAATAACACAGCTTTTACATTGAATATGTCATAGTATTTACAAAGCTAATTAAAGCATATTTCTCTTTTCTCCAAATGTCTACTAATTTAGTATGAAGACTGAAACATCTTTTATGCACTTTTATTAATTGTACCATGCCTAAATGTTTTAAATTACTTTTTCAAAGTCCAGCCTTGAGGACTGGTAGTATATTAAAATAACTTCATGTTTCCAGACCTAACAATAAGGAAAAGGAAAGTGCAATTAGCTTGGCTGCTCACAAGCGAGTTGCTAATTTGCCTTTGATGACAGTCTCTGCTAATACCACTGCAGGAATTGCTTGTGCTAATAAACAATCTACTAGATATGTACCCATTTTCTAAAATGAAGTATTATGAAACAGGAGCATGTCATGCACATATATGAAACAGGAGCAACTAAATCTGTGCTCTCTGTTTCAAGCTGACTTCAGAACCACCATACCTTGCTCAGAAATGACATTGATGAGCACTGTACATTAGTACAAATATCTGTATACTTTGTTAGTGCTTCACTTTAAAATTGCAAACGAGTATTTTTCTAGGGATTTTGTTGTTGCAAAAAGTGTTGCTAAAAGATACTGCTCTTAAGAACATATCTGTAAACCTGTTTGGAGGAAGGAATATGGTTGGACACCACTGATTTAAGTTCCCTGGAGTCACTGAGGGGTCAGATACCCAATGGCAAGCAAAAGGAAAACATAAAAAGCTAGACTTTAAATCACCTTAGCATTTCACATTACTGTGAAACTACACTGAATGCCACTTTTCTGACTGCATCTCGATACTAGTATATGGAATTAGATGCTTAACAGTGCAGTGTTGGAAGGGTATGATGTACATTGCATCATGTCATCCTGTGTAGACAAGATTATATGGTTAGGAACCCAGCCCATCTGTCCTACAAAAGGAGGAGTAATACATGCTTTACATACATAATACATGCTGTACATACAGAGTGCCTTTCATCCAAAGCCCCTCAGGTTGCGCTGCCGTAGCGGGGTTACGTGAGGAACCTGTTCTTTAGTCTTCAAACCCCTATTAAATGGGCTCATCTATTCCTGCTTCTTAACTATTAGGTTAGTGCTTTACTTCAAAATTACCCATTTTTTTTAAACAATATTTATTGCAATTTTATGGAAAGACTAAGAAGATTTGGAGGAGATACAGCAAAACGGCCAACCAAATTGCCGTATTTAAGCTTAATAATGCTTTTGTATTCTGTGAAATTTCAGACACAACCCGACCTCCAAAGAAAGATGAAGAGAATGGAAAAAATTACTACTTCGTATCACATGACCAAATGATGCAGGATATATCCAACAATGAGTATTTGGAATATGGCAGCCACGAGGACGCAATGTATGGGACAAAACTGGAAACAATACGGAAGATCCATGAGCAGGGACTAATTGCAATACTTGATGTAGAACCTCAGGTAATTTATATAAAAAAATGGGACTTCTGCTAGTCTTCTGGTTAGAAAAATATAGAACAAACAAAAACTGCATAGGTTAGCTTGGTAGAAGACTGCTATTACTTGAAATGCTATTTCTTGTAGAATGACCAGGATGCAGTGTAGCTTCCTTATAGTTTTTTGTTTGTTATGGTATCACAGCTTTTTGAAGGAGAGAAGGAAGTGAAATTAGGAATTCAAGAAATGTCAATAGTTTGTTCATTCACTATACAAAATCTTCAGTGGAGTAGTCTGATATATTTTCCTTGAAGCACACATATGGTCATGGCTTTAATCCACGGGGATGTCTTTATGTATTTTGTTACTGAAATAGCTATGGTGCTTATTATAGCAGGTAGGAGAAAACAGGAAGAAAGACTGAAATACCTTGAAAGATGATTGTGAGAAAGAGGAATTTAGTCCATAAGGAAACTGTTTCCCGTAGTAACTGTTCTATCTTGACAACCACAAAACAGGTCTGCAGATTATCAAATGCTAATCAAAATTGAAATTGTCACTAGAGATGTCACAATTTGCTTTCTTCTTTCTTCTGAGCGAATGGATCCAAGAAATAAATATTCTTTAGTAAGAATTCCACAGCAGATGTAGGATGCATAAGTGATTTCACACCACTTGCCTGTTTTTAGTAAGGTCTTTTTAGTTATGTGAGTTTCCTTGACTTTCATAGAATCATGGAATCTTTATGTTTAGAGGAGCTTGCATTGGTGATATCTACAGGTGGCTTTCAAGCAGCAAAGATGAAAACCTTTTCAGCTTGGGAATAGGATGGATTTTTGAAAATTTAAAAAAAAATAAAGAAAGAAAGAAAGAAAGAAGAAGAAGGGGAGGGGTGCTTAGCAGTCTTCCTGTATATACTGCATATTATCCGGCTATTTGAGTTCAGCTGAGGCAGTTTTACTTGTTATCCTACCCTTCAGTCTGATCTGGAGAAAAGTTTCACTTGCAGTAGCATTTGTTAAATCATGACTGAGTCAACTTATAATAAGAGCTATCATTCCCTTTGCAGAGATGTGGTTCAGAGGAGCTCTGTTGTGCGTTTACTGCATTAATGCTATGCTCACTATCCTAATAATCACTTAATGATAAATGTACAATCAGCTCCCCTCAAATCAGGACAATAATAGAAGCAAAGTGTTTGCATTATGAAGTGCTTTACTCTGAATTAATTAAAAGCAAATGCTAGCTTTTACAAATCATAGGCTTTTCTAACCTTTTGCTCGTGTGACTAACCTTATTTCACATTGATCTTCTCAACTCTTCTAAACTTCTGGACTCTTCTGAAGTACCTGATTTTATTTCATTTAACCTAGGCGCTGAAGGTCCTGAGAACTGCGGAGTTTGCTCCTTTTGTTGTTTTTATTGCTGCACCTACAATTACCCCAGGCATTAATGAGGTAAGTCATGCTACAATGTAATGACTTAACCAGTGTCAGAATTAAGGATGGAATTCCACTATGCTGATTAGACTTTTCCATGTCTGTGAATTTCCTTGTCTGTGAACAGAAAGGCTGAAGGAAAGTTGCTATACAACAACTTTACTGAGATGTATTTAGCATTTAGAGACTGATTTTTCTAATTCAAAATAAGAGCTTCAAATTGGAGTATGTATGCTAAAATATGTATTGCTTTATTTCAGTCTCTCCTGTAGCCAAGATGACAGATAATTAACACAAGTTACTCAACTGTGAGTGCAGTGCTAGTACCAGATGGCAACTGTCCTGCGCTTAAGAATGGAGGTGCATGACAGTGCTGTCATTCCATTTTTATGTTGAAATTTGATTTCTATACGGCACATATCAGGAAGAAGCTTATTAATTTCAAAGACTATTCTCTAAGAATTATAAGTTTTGACCAAAGGGATAGTTCTTTATGGAATATTTTTAAGTATTCATGCCAGTGCACATCCCAAATTTATACAGGCTCACATTTCCTACTTTGTATTTATCCATTAATCTATCCATTGATTTCAAGTAATTCAGGATTTAAGTCACATCAATATGAATATTTGTCCAGAAACTTAACCTGCTTGAATTTGTTTGAACTCTCCTAATAAATTGTTAATTGTTTCATTTGTCAATGTTTAATTGAATTTGACCATAAACCTGTTCCAAATCTCCTTGATCTCTCATTGATCAAGACAGGAGAAAATGTCACAGTGATCTTTATCTGCAGAGCTGGTCTGTTCATGTAGAAGTTTATCGCAACATCACAAATACAAAACCATGACTTGACTGCAGAGGCTTGTGGGAAGATAAGGAACAGGATAGACTTCTAATGTATCTGTTCTAATAACTCTATCTATTCCAATAATTTGCTGTTGCTGGCAGGAGTGGGTCTTCTAGCTTGTATGCGTTGGCCATGGCACTTGCCAGATCCTCCAGGGAGCCACTTTGGCTCTAAAGTGATTTCTGAGAGTTTTCGAGCAGCTCACGGAGGATCTGACAAGCCCCAGTGTCACAGCAGGCTGCTAAAGTCACGGCCAGGAAGAGGTGGCAGAGGGGCAAGGGATCTTCTCACATCCATAGCAGTACCTTATGTCCTGTCACCATGTCCTAGGAACCATTCCCAACTCTATTTTAATTCCAAAACGTTGTATTCTAGAACCCAGCACTGAATTTGTCTCTGTGCAAGTAAATGACACAGCGTCACTTAAAAACATAATCACCCCTAGATTGCAGCAGACAGCTATTCTGCTTACAGCAGCACTAAGGAGGCCCAGGTTTTCTGTGGAATTATGTGATCACTTGTGTGTGTTAATCCATACCTGTGTTTCAGCTCCCAAACAGTCTTATCCTTGGCTTCACTCCTCTGCCCATGATATTTGCCTTTGAATCTTACAGCTGAATACGCTGAAATTGGGCATAGTCAATGTAAGGGAGAAAATGTTCTCCATCGTTCACTGAGAAGGGGAGAGCAATACACCTTTTTAAGAATGGTGGGGAGATATTAGCATATTAGCAAAAATTTTAGCAAAATATTAGCAAAATATATTAGCAAAATAAGGAAGTATTACCTTTTAAATATTGAGGTTCATGCATTAGGAGTATCTCTTTATAAAAAAAAAAAGTTCTAGTGATTAAAGTCTCTTTGCACACAAGGATTCTCTGAGGGATGTAGATTGCTGAACATGGACCACACTTATAAATTATCCTAAATTATGATAACTCGATTTAAGTTGAAAGAAAAGAAATAGTAGTAGCAAGAGTCCTTGCCCTAACCCAATGTCATGTTTTGGAAGATTTACTGTATTGCTTAAAGAGATAAGCAAATTCTGTCTGTATATTAGCCGTTTACAAGACAGCAACATAATGTTAGAGTGAATGCTTCATATTCCTCATTCATTCTTCCTTTTTGAAAGCTTCATGTGCATAAGTATCCCTTTCTGTTTACCCTCATACCCTACTTTATTTTACAAGCACCCTGTGAAGACACTTTCTATAAATTACTGTCCTTTCCCTTCCATGTTTTTTCTTGAATTTCATCTTTGCTTTTCTTTTCATTTTCCTGCACTCGTACTAATTGTACATAGCTGCCAAAGTGGTGCAGAAAATTGCCTGTAAGTACCAGCTAGGAGCTGATAAAGGTGTAGTCCTGATAATTTTAGTAGTTTTAGAATGTAGATATGCTTGTTCCCATTCAACTTTACTTTCGTTATTGAATACAAATTTAATATAATAAAAACTTTAGACATTTTTGCTAAAATACGTGTAATAAGGATTATTTGCTAGTAAAAATGAACTAGAGGGTAATATTTGTGCTCTTTTAACTGTGTATCTATGCTTCATGGTAACAGCAGTGCAAAGGCCTAACCTCAAAAATATCTGCTTGAGGAAATTTAGCCTGTTGTAAAACACACAGAGTATTCCAGTATACACACAGTAGGATCACGTGGTAGGAGTCAGGACACAAAATATTTTGCTCCCAAATTGAATATAGAAATGCTCTATGAGGAGTCCTGCAAAGGACATAACCAATTTAAGCCATATAGGAAATTTCCCATCTACCTGCCTATCTCATTGCAAAGGAACATGAAATCAGTCTGTCAGCGGGGTAAAGCAGGGAGAGGAGAGGGCACCTTGGGAAACAGGGGGTTATTCCGCTGCTCCAGGGTCACAGAGGATCTGACAGACACCACTTTCATGACCTAGATCTTTCTTCAGTCATCTGTAACAACTTCTCCCTTTTAGCTACACTTCCCCACTTCCTGTAGCCATAGAGTAGAAAGGATTTTTCTTGCAATGTTTGTAGTTCATCAGTTGTTCAAATCAAGGAGATTTTTGTGTTGCTGTTGAACAGAATAGGCAAAGGCCTGATGGCTTCTTAATGTTTGCTCATGGTCTTAGAAGGGGATATTAGTCCTTTGTGCCTTGGCTGTAACAAATGGCAGCTATTCAGCTATTGTTCAAGGCCAAAAAGAAAAAAAAAAGCCTATGGAAGGCAGAAGAGACCAAGGATTTCGCTGGTGGCCATTATACATACAGGGAGATTTCGTGTGTAAAAGGAATGTTTCGCTCCTTTCCATCTCAGATGTGGTGAAGAACGTAGTTCTAGTGATAGGCAAGAAAAGTCTATTCCCCATAATGACGCTCTGCAACTAAATACACATATAAAATTTATTACGTGAGAGCTGAGTGGAAGGGAAAAGACAGATATTCTCCTCCCAAATATGAAATATAAAAGTTGCCATTCATTTGTCTGTCTTCATTTATCTGAATATTTTGATAAATATCTTGTTTATTGACATGAATTGACATGAAGCATGAATTGTGGAGATGTGGAGAATGTTCACAGCAAGAGATTTGTTTTAACGAGAGAAGTTCATACTCATACCTGTTGCAGGACACCAGAAATCTGAACAACAGTTAGAGCTACATAGGAGTTTAGAGTTCCAGATCTGGTACTGAGCCATTTAAAATATTCCACAGAAATATTTAATATTAGTATTTACCATATTGTTCAACCTAAAAACAGTGTAGAAAAACTTTGCAAGCACTGATATGTTCTACAGAAGCCGCAAGCACTGCTGCAGCTGCGTGTTATTCCGTAAAAGTAACATCCCCTATGCACAAGTGCATGTGAAGAGTACCCGTGTGACTCTGTTTAGGTGGAGTTTTGAGTTCTTATCGAGAGCAGGTGACATTCCCTGCCCGTGTGGGGCTGCAGCTCCAGGAAACGAGCAGAACTGTAACTTTGCTACAGAACTTCTCAGGAAGTGGTCGGTTTCATCGCCTAGGGAAGGAGAACCAAGGAGAAGTATTTCAGCGCAGGTTATTCCCTTCAGAGGACCTGAAAGCCACTGGTTTGCATCTGCTTGTCGGTGCAGTTAACTTTCTGAGTATTTGCAGCAGGCGGGTTTCTTATTAAGCAGATAAAGGTCTGTTCCTAAAATAATTTCTTTTGTAAAGGGCTGTAGGCACAGCTTCTGTGCTTCCTGCAGCCTAATGCCCCTCTTCTAGTCAAAAAATGCATCCTTGTTGTTAGAACAAGTAGGATAACCACATAAATACTACAGAGCAGCAACTCTGGTCATATGAGTACTGTTCATCTGTAGCTTTGTCCCATATCCGCCCCAAACGATATGGGAAGGGAGAGAATTATTTATTCCTCTGGCTGTTTCAAAGTTCTTGGAAGCAGCAGTCTGTAGAATGTAACAAGTGATCTTTTGAATTTCTTAGGGTGTTTACAAGAGGAAAACTCAAATCCCTACTTCCTTACCACTCCAGAACCCCAGAAACAGGCTTCCCATGGTCCCTGGCCCGCTCAGAAAGCCAGGCCAGGGAGCCCAGCACCCTAGCACTGCTGGCAATAAGGAATCAGGCAGAGCACCAGAAAAGGGGGAGATTCACACAAGTCCACGAAGGATGGAGTTGATTGTCCCCCTTTCTTGACCTTAATGGCACAGTTAGTGTGCAGAACATCCCCCTCTGAGGTGCTGGAGAAGTGTATTCAGCAATAGGAACTGCCATGTAACACAAGAGAGAGAAGTTGCTTAACAGGAAACGACTTTAAAGGAATCGCCCCCCTGCAAGAAAACCCATATTGAAGAGTAAAACATTACCAAAACTGGGAACAGCTGCTGCCCGACAGTATCTCCCATCCTGTTTGTAGTGGTCCGGCCTGGACGTAGGCCGGGCGGCTTGTATCTGTGCTCTGTGTACACGTTGCTCTCACGTGGCCTCTCCTGCTCCGTGTCTGTGCCGCTTGCCTAAGCTTTCGTCCCATGCCTTGCCTCTGGAATCCTAGGCGAGTGCTTTGTCCCAATATTGCCAGCTAATGAACTGTGTTTGGATGTGAATTTCGAGACAGAAATTGTTCTGTTTCTTCCTTGTAACTTCCACAGAGTTATGAGGGCTTCTAAATCATCCGTGTGTATTTTTTTTTCCTCTTTTCCTCTCCGTAAGCAGCAGCTAGAAATCTGTAGCGCGGGAACGTGGAGGGATCCAACTTACCTCTTTCTTTTTCTGCTCGTTGAATAGGACGAATCGCTTCAGCGGCTGCAAAAGGAGTCTGAAATCTTACAGAGAACATATGCACACTACTTTGACCTAACAATTATCAACAATGAGATTGATGAAACAATCAGGCACCTGGAGGAAGCCATTGAGCTTGTTTGTACAGCATCCCAGTGGGTTCCCGTCTCCTGGGTCTATTAGGCCGAGCTCCAGATATTTGGGGGAAAACAAACAAAAACAAAACCTTGCCATTGCCGGGAACCACCTCATACATGGAGAAAAAAAAAAAAAAAAAAAACCTCTTCATTCTTGACCTTGTGTCAACAGGTCTTGGCCCCTAGAGACTACCTAGATGTAGTGTGACCTAAATTTATAATTATTGTCATGTCCTAATAGATAGGAGGAGGGAAAAAAAAGAAAAAAAGGAAAAAAAAAAGCGCTAATTTAAAGAGACAGTATCTTTTTTTTAATCATTTCTCCTAAACTTTAATAAAATGTATCTTTAAATGTATGTATTATTCAGTCTTTTGGAATGTTATATTTTTGGAAATCATAGCTTTTTATTTCAAAGGCCCCTAAAAACTGCACAAAATAGATGCTGCTTTCTATAATCTATTTTAATAGTAATAATAATATGATTCTGTTACCTTTACTTGGGGGTGGAACACTACATTCTTTTTAGAGTCTGATTTTATGGATTTGGAATACTTTGCTCTCCTTTATTTATTTGAAATAATTAGTCTAGAGGTTACAAAACAAATTCATAAATTTTCAAGGCCTTTCTTCGCTTTTTTTTTTTTTTAGAATAGTATTTTTAAGTATTTTTGTGTAACATCCAGGTAATGTGATACTGTCTCTTTGAAGAACTCTGTAAAACTTTTAGAAATTTGAAATTGGGTCTTGACTCTTAATGCATGTGGACAGTCGCAAGCGTTCATGCCGTTGGTGTATCTGTGTTGAAAAAACTGTAATCTACAGCAAAGTACATTCCGTTCATGGGGAAAAGTACCCAAGGGAATAAAGTAAAATATTATTCTGACTAAGTTGTAAACCTATGCACATCCCTTGCATTTTGGGCAACTTTATAAAAAAAAATGATTTTTATTAATAATAATCATGTAGTGAAATGTGTTTGTAATTTTGTCTCAATTTAATTTGTTGTAAGGTGGGAGGGGGCAATTACTGGTTTCACCATTTCAGATCTGTGTTGTCTGAGAGTATTAACGTTTTAATTAAGTTGAAGCAAAGAAATGCTGATTTTTAATATGTATGTAATTGTTTAAAAATGCACACATTTTAGAAGAAAATAATGTGCAATGAAGAAACCAGTTCAGGCATTGCGATAAACTGACTATTCCAAAAGACTCATCTACAACAGCCCTGTAAATTCCTTTAAAAAATGGTAATTGACTCTACAGTCTGACCAATTTTTTTTTTTATTATTATTATTTTAAATATACTTCCTTTTATGTGTTCAACAATTAAATGCTTTTGGGTCCTTCATTTCATCACAGATTTATTGAGGGAGTTTGAAGAACAAATCAGTGACTCTTGTAAGTGAGAAAACTCTTAAAGGGCCCTGGTAGTGATGTGGTCTACAGCGTTTTCCAGGGAATCTGCTTACGAGCGCAGTTTGAGCTAATTTAGAGTTAGAGCAGAGGCAAGTAAGAAAATTTAACCATGTAATAATCTTATGTTATGTTTTGTTTCCCTTCTTCATGCCCTCCCAGCCCAAATGGTTTGTATTTCTCCTGCAAATGGTTGACAGCAATGGTTGACAAGCATTCCCATGTCTTTTCAGGTGTCAGAAATAGGATTCTCCTTAAAACAGTTTATCTTCAGAGCTCAGTTGACTGCTCAGTTGCATAGCATGAAGTCATAGCGTCTGTGTTGAAATTGCACAGTGCCCTTGAAGGGTTTATCCTTCAAGTTGTACTGTCAGCTGTAATTGATCTACAGACTGTTTGTTGTTTGCAATCACTGCATATAGTCAGAAAATGTTCTCCCTGTTAGGCCTTTATCATAGGCTGCTGCTTCTGTCCCTCCTCCTCTTCCTCCTCCTGCAGATGAGGTGGCCTACCCTCTCTCTTCTTGACAAATCCATAGGAAAAATGTAGGTCCAGCTACGCCTCCAGGACAGCCCAATGAGACAACGTGTTTATTATTATTTATGAGCCAAATGGCTGGAGCCAAAGTTGTGCCCTAAGAACAGAACTCACTGATGCTACAAGGGGAATCACTGTGTGACCGAGTCCCAGAGCAAGGATCTTCCCCCACCCCTGTGACTTTATAGTTTGTAGAGAACTGGCAACTAAATGAATGAGAAAGTATCTTGTATAGACCAAGCATAAACAAGCCTGTGAATAAGAAGGCACCTATCACATTAATAGTAGCTGCTCATCTGTTCTGGATTTAGCCCCTTTAAAGGGGGTAGATATAAACTGTGAACTATATAGTGAGTAACAGGTATTTTTTCAAGTACTAGTATGTCTTTTTAGTTTGGGATGAATCTTAGCAGGTGTACTTGTAGATCAGCCGTTGCAATGGTAGTATTAAACACTAGCTGAGCTCATCAAGTAAAAGGTCAATTCACTCTCAAAACTACCTCTTTTCCCAGTAAAGCACAAAGACGAGAAGACCTGCTGAAAATCAAGCAGTGGAGTGTTTCTGATGTTAGAAATACAAACTTCTCTGGTAAGCGTTGGTATCTGATTTCAGTGACACATTGTGCATCTCAAATGTTTATGGCATTAAACAGGTAAAGCAGTTTTGGTAATTAGGGTATAGTCCACCATAAATGGCTTGACTACACACTTTTGACTCTGTTAATGTGAATTTCTTGAAGATTCTGTGTATTCAAGCTAAAAGGAAAGAAAACTCATAGACCTATGAGGGTGCTTCTGCCTTATGTAGATGAAAATAAGTAGTGATTTAATATAACTGATATGCTTTTCTTCTCTAAATGGAGTTTCTCATTCTGTTAATATTACACAGTAAAAGCTCTGACTTGGAGAGCTTTGGTTCTTATATTTTCACTGCATAACATTTTACCAGGAGACAAAAACATGAAGCATATCAGTTAGTGTATTGTCCTGCCTTCTCTTTACCATGGACTGTTCTCCTTGTAATAACCTTAAGTAGCAAAAGAAGTTTAAAAAAAAATGTACTTAGAATCAACCTAGGCTTTAAATACAACCAAACCATACAACCCAGTTTACTTTGTGAAGCAGTTGCAGCACAGTTCCGTAATCTGTAGAGCAAACCCAGAATTCCTTAGCCTACCTGATCCATACCTCTTCTGACTCCTGCCCAAACACTTCTGATCCATCAATACTATTGGTATGGTGTGGAGAGGGCAAAAAGATGCCATAAATTGTACTGGAATTTTCCGTTGTGTGGGGAAGGCTTGTGCAGATGCAGAGCTAACATTACGATTCTTTTTCATAATTTCCAATTGGAAAAAGGACCTCCTAGTAGTATAAATACTACTGCATAATTTAGAGCATCTCTTAGACTTCTCTAAATTTATGCTGAATGTGACCTCAGAAGTGGCCCTGGGTTTGGGAAGAAACACATTTCTGTTTGCCCCTTTTATACTTTATTTTTGTACAGGGGCTAATAGATTTGTAAAGAAAACTTGATCTTATCAGTATGCTGCCTCTCAGTCTGACTGCCTGTGGTTTCAAGGTGTTAAATTGGTCCAATAAATGTTCATTAACCTCTGCTTCCATTTACTTAATAAAAGTACACTAGGTTATTCAATGTCTCAGAGTGATAAGATTATTGTATTGAACTGCTTACCTAGTTTAGACAATCCTGGCCACTGTCATGCAACTCACTTAAAAGTCACTTAAACTCAAAAGTTCACTCAGACTCACTTAAAAAAAGCATGCACATATTCAAAGTCCGAAGGATGTTTCTGATCTCATCTCCAAAATTGAACTTGGCCATATGTTTTAGCTTTTGCTTGTTTGTTTGCTTGTTTGTATCTGATTTGGGTCAAGAAGGATGATGTAGCACCATCCTCTAACCAAAATAATCACTACCTGCTTTAGTAACCAAGTTTAGTCACCAAAGTTACTCAATTGATTTTGAAGGGACATCTTAGGAGACAAGATGTAACAGCCTGAGCAGCGTTGAACTTGATTGTAAGTTTTAAGAATTGGGTTCTAGAGTCATTAGGAGAAGTTAATCTACAGACTAACTTCAGTATTTGTTCATTTTTATTCTTTGCTGAAAGGAAATTATTTTAGAATATTAGTGCTATTTGTATGAATATTTGGAAATATCAGTAAAGATACATTACTTTTTATGAGTCTAGATAGAAATATTTGATACTAGCAGTTCTGGTCCTGTTCTGTTGCACTGATTGGTTCTTGATATCTTTAACAAAGGCATTTGGAATTCACTTTAGGTCTTGAAAAACTCAGTAGAATAAAAAGCACAAGAAAATTACATTTCTAGATTGATTCATATGACAAATTAAAGGAACAGTCCTAGCTAAAGGACTAAAGTAAACATTTTTAGAGTCTTTTTCAAACTCAATCCTTTTTCCCTAAATTCACCAATTTAGATGTCTAAACATATGCTCACTGTGTCCTATACACATTTCTGTTTATCAAATAAATATAACAAGAGCTCTGTGTCAATTTAATATGTCATTGAAGACTTCTAAGGCTATCCAGTGGGCAAAAGAGAATAAATTCCACAGTGTTATTTTATATCAATTATGAAAACCTTCAAAACAGATTTCTTTTTTCTTACTTACATTTAGAGAAAAAAATACACTGAGCTGTGTAAAGCATAAAAAGCAACAGCTCAAAAACTCACAAATAATACTGTCACCATAGGTTTCCTGAGGAAATATTTTGGTTTTCTCTCTTGGCTATGAAAGTAAGCATTTCAGTCCAGCCTTCAGAGTATTTGTGAAGTTTCATGAGAGAAACTGGAGAGAGATCCTGTTTCCTATCTCTGCTGCTTCCAGGAAAACATATCTGGTTTATTTTAGCAGCTTGGACAACTTGCCCTGCCTGGGGTCTGCAGCTGAAGGGTTTAGTGCTGCAGAGCATGGTTCTGCCTGGCAGTCTGAGGGTCCTGCTTTAGCTACGTTATGTTGTTATGACTTGTGATTTTAAATTAGGAAGACTTCAGGCAGAGCACAAAATCTTTCCGCATTCTTGTGTGTTACTTGATTCGGTGTTTTTCTACTGCCTGTTGTTTGGCAAACTCCTTCAGTGCGAAATTAATCCATTCAGAGCCCAGTGATGCCCAATAATTCCAAGCAGCTTTGATTTTTGTTCAAGCTTTGTGTTTTCACTGCTGTGTTTTCAACATCCTTAGCTATTTTTGATCCTTAAAGCAATTAATTTGCAAGTAATTGGTGAGGGTGTTGCTGTTTAGGTACCCATTCCTGCCCTCCATCTCATTTTGGCAGCGGATGGGTTCCTTGGAAAGCTCTGGTGCTGTGTAGAGTGTTGTCTAATACTGACTCTCAAACTAGAAAGGATCTTTTAAGACAGCGATCAGATCCTCTCTGCCTCAGTCTCTCAAACTGTATTCTTGATTGCGGGAAGAAATGAAGCATGAGGGAAGGATACCATAGCTTCCATATAATTTTATATATGAAGAAATCTTACAGACTCTTGGGGTTGGGATTCAGTGTCTGCTGCCTCCTGAAAGACAGTCTGGCTTTGTCCAGGCCAAACAAATGGTAACAGCTTTTGCATGGGGAAATTTCCATTCCTGGGAGATACGTTTGGGGAAACACAGCTGACGGAGCAGAGTCCCCTGGAGACACTGGTCAGAAGATCGTGGGAGCAGAGAAGAGCTGTGAGGATTTGGGCCTCCATCTCCAGCAAGCAGCAAATTGTTACGGTTAGCACTGTATCCTGACAAAAGCCCCCAAAATGGCGAGTGCTACAGAAAATGCTCTGCTAAAATAACACTAAGCATCTGTATCGATACTAATGATAATGATGAGAAAAAAGGTGATTGTAAGTTACGGGTTCAATCTACAGAGCAAGGCAGAGTTTAGATCAAGACTTCTCTCTTTTTTTTTTTTTTTTTTTTTTTTGTTTTGTACTATTTAACAATCCCTGAACTTTACTTAAATAATCTCCTTGCTTTCTTGGAGAGCTCATACCCAGCCAGACTTTGCTTCCTATTGTATCTGTTGATAGAAATTATACAGTACGGTTAAACCAACAAAGAGAAAGGTAGGCTGCCTGCAGAGAAAGTGAAGTACAGTGATTCAGTGGAGCTGCAGACCTGGGACACATGAGAACCGTCATCTGTGTTTGACGCCCATATTCGTCTGCTGAGCACATGGGTAAGTCACTTCATCCCTGTCTGCCCACGTTTTCTCTTCTGCCGTGTTATTTGTTACTGTTTAGGTTGTAAGCTCTGAGCATAAGGAGCTGACAGCCGCTGTGCTTGTAGTCTCAAGCATAGGAGAGGCTGCTAGGCAGTAATAATAATTCTTCTGGTACTTAAAACTGACCATTAGGCTGAACAATTGTGGTTAGAGACAGTTGCAGGTGTTCTCCAAATACTTAGGGTATGGTAGGAATTGGGTAGGTAGGACTTACTTGGTAGGAACCCAATAACATTCCCTGTTCTCTCCAATATGGATTTAAGGAGGTGCTGCGAAGACAGGCATGGGGCTGCAGCCTGCCCAGAAGACGGGTGCAATTCCACCATGGCATGGATGAAAGAGTGAAGTATTCCAGTCCGCACAAGCTCCTGGCTCTATTCAAGGTGTTTCACAAACCACCTTTTTTTTTCAATATACACCTGCCCTGGCAGTATATTTCTTAAGGTCCTTCATGGACTGAAGGCAGAAAACCAAGAAATGCCTTAAGCTAGCGACAGGGAGGAGGATTCCCCTGGTGCTCTCTAGGGGAGATTCCCTTTTGCCCAAACAGCAGCCAACACAGCTGAAAATTCTGGACTATTTGCAAGACATTTTATAGTAGTAGTAACTTTATAGCCATTTGCTTGCAGCAATTCATGCTTTACTTTATTTGAGCTCTATTTCAGGAGCAGACATTTCATGTTGTGGTAACTGGCTGAAAATAGTTGGTCAGTTACTTCCCCCAAGAGGATTAGAACACTATTAGGCAAATTAATTAGATCTAAAGAAATCAATAGATAAATATTGCCATCCTGATGGATAGGGCAATGACACAGATCCTTAGGAGTGGGATGCAAAATTGCTGTCTGTGCTCCACTGACCTTAGGGACAAACATGTCCTGAGCTGGACCTTGAGTATCACAATTTCTGAAATTGAGAGTCAATGAAAACGGTTCTCCTCAGTGTCTGGAATACTTGCCAACAGACCAAGCTTAAGCAGAGAACAGGGAAGCTCTGCAAGGAAGGAAGTGCAAGAGCCCTGTGAGCCAAAGCAGACCTCCAGGTCTGCTGGTCCCT